GACGGGAGATGACAAGTGCCTGGATTAGGACCTGTGCCGCTTCCTGTGTAAGGCAGGGTCGTACTCTGCGAATGTTGTAGAGCATGAACCTGCAGGATCGGGTCACAGCTTTGATGTTAGCGGAGAACGACAGGGTGTTGTCCAGGGTCACGCCAGGGTTCTTTGCACTCTGGGAGGAGGACACAATGGAGTTGTCAACCGTGATGGTGAGATCGTGGAGCGGGCAGTCCTTCACCGGGAGGAAGAGCAGCTCCGTCTTGCCGAGGTTCAGCTTGAGGTGGTGATCCGACATCCATACTGATATGTCTGCCAGACATGCAGAGATGCGATTCGCCACCTGGTTATCAGAAAGGGGAAAGGAGAAAATTAATTGTGTGTCGTCTGCGTAGCAATGATAGGAGAGACCATGTGAGGATATGACAGCCGAGTGACTTGGTGTATAGAGAGAATAGGAGAGGGCCTAGAATTTATACATTTATATATTAGCAAACATTTCTACTAACCTGTTTTTGCTTTGTCATTATGGGGTATTGGGTCATTATGGGGTATTGGGTCATTATGGGGTATTGGGTCATTATGGCGTATTGGGTCATTATGGCGTATTGGGTCATTATGGGGTATTGGGTCATTATGGGGTATTGGGTCATTATGGGGTATTGGGTCATTATGGGGTAAAGGGTCATTATGGGGTATTGGGTCATTATGGGGTATTGGGTCATTATGGGGTATTGGGTCATTATGGGGTATTGGGTCATTATGGGGTATTGGGTCATTATGGGGTATTGGGTCATTATGGCGTATTGGGTCATTATGGGGTATTGGGTCATTATGGGGTATTGGGTCATTATGGGGTATTGGGTCATTATGGGGTATTGGGTCATTATGGGGTATTGTGTGTAGATTAATGAGGGGGGGGGGAACTATTTAATCCAGTTGAGAATAAGGCTGTAACGTAACAAAATATGGAAAAGGTCAAGTGTTCGGAATACTTTCCGAATGCACCACAACACTACATAAAGAGACACCACAACACCACATAAAGAGAGACACCACAACACCACATAAAGAGAGACACCACAACACTACATAAAGAGAGACACCACAACACTACATAAAGAGAGACACCACAACACTACATAAAGAGAGACGCCACAACACTACATAAAGAGAGACACCACAACACTACATAAAGAGAGACACCACAACACTACATAAAGAGAGACGCCACAACACTACATAAAGAGAGACGCCACAACACTACATAAAGAGAGACACCACAACACTACATAAAGAGAGACACCACAACACTACATAAAGAGAGACGCCACAACACTACATAAAGAGAGACGCCACAACACTACATAAAGAGACACCACAACAATACATAAAGAGAGACACCACAACACTACATAAAGAGAGACACCACAACACTACATAAAGAGAGACGCCACAACACTACATAAAGAGAGACACCACAACACTACATAAAGAGAGACACCACAACACTACATAAAGAGAGACGCCACAACACTACATAAAGAGAGACGCCACAACACTACATAAAGAGACACCACAACACCACATAAAGAGAGACACCACAACACTACATAAAGAGAGACACCACAACACTACATAAAGAGACACCACAACACCACATAAAGAGAGACACCACAACACTACATAAAGAGAGACACCACAACACTACATAAAGAGAGACACCACAACACTACATAAAGAGAGACACCACAACACTACATAAAGAGAGACACCACAAACACTACATAAAGAGAGACACCACAACACTACATAAAGAGAGACACCACAACACTACATAAAGAGAGACACCACAACACTACATAAAGAGAGACACCACAACACTACATAAAGAGAGACGCCACAACACTACATAAAGAGAGACGCCACAACATTACATAAAGAGAGACGCCACAACACTACATAAAGAGAGACGCCACAACACTACATAAAGAGAGACACCACAACACTACATAAAGAGAGACACCACAACACTACATAAAGAGAGACGCCACAACACTACATAAAGAGAGACGCCACAACACTACATAAAGAGACACCACAACACTACATAAAGAGAGACACCACAACACTACATAAAGAGAGACACCACAACACTACATAAAGAGACACCACAACACTACATAAAGAGAGACGCCACAACACTACATAAAGAGAGACACCACAACACTACATAAAGAGAGACGCCACAACACTACATAAAGAGAGACGCCACAACACTACATAAAGAGAGACACCACAACACTACATAAAGAGAGACACCACAACACTACATAAAGAGAGACGCCACAACACTACATAAAGAGAGACACCACAACACTACATAAAGAGATACACCACAACACTACATAAAGAGAGACACCACAACACTACATAAAGAGAGACGCCACAACACTACATAAAGAGAGACGCCACAACACTACATAAAGAGACACCACAACACTACATAAAGAGTGACACCACAACACTACATAAAGAGAGACACCACAACACTACATAAAGAGACACCACAACACTACATAAAGAGAGACGCCACAACACTACATAAAGAGAGACACCACAACACTACATAAAGAGAGACGCCACAACACTACATAAAGAGAGACGCCACAACACTACATAAAGAGAGACACCACAACACTACATAAAGAGAGACACCACAACACTACATAAAGAGAGACGCCACAACACTACATAAAGAGAGACACCACAACACTACATAAAGAGAGACACCACAACACTACATAAAGAGAGACACCACAACACTACATAAAGAGAGACGCCACAACACTACATAAAGAGAGACACCACAACACTACATAAAGAGAGACACCACAACACTACATAAAGAGAGACACCACAACACTACATAAAGAGAGACGCCACAACACTACATAAAGAGAGACGCCACAACACTACATAAAGAGACACCACAACACTACATAAAGAGAGACACCACAACACTACATAAAGAGAGACATCACAACACTACATAAAGAGACACCACAACACTACATAAAGAGAGACGCCACAACACTACATAAAGAGAGACACCACAACACTACATAAAGAGAGACGCCACAACACTACATAAAGAGAGACGCCACAACACTACATAAAGAGAGACACCACAACACTACATAAAGAGAGACACCACAACACTACATAAAGAGAGACGCCACAACACTACATAAAGAGAGACACCACAACACTACATAAAGAGAGACACCACAACACTACATAAAGAGAGACACCACAACACTACATAAAGAGAGACACCACAACACTACATAAAGAGAGACGCCACAACACTACATAGGGCGGCAGGTAGCTTAGTGGGTAAGAGCGTTGTGCCAGTAACCGAAAGGTCGCTGGTTCTAATCCCTGAGCCGACTAGGTGAAAAATCTGTCGATGTGCCCTTAAGCAAGGCACTTAACCCTAATTGCTCCTGTAAGTCACTCTGGATAAGAGCGTCTGCTAAATGACTAAAATGTAAAGAGACACCACAACACTACATAAAGAGAGACACCACAACACTACATAAAGAGAGACACCACAACACTACATAAAGAGAGACCCACAACACTACATAAAGAGAGACGCCACAACACTACATAAAGAGAGACGCCACAACACTACATAAAGAGAGACACCACAACACTACATAAAGAGAGACACCACAACACTACATAAAGAGAGACCACAACACTACATAAAGAGAGACCTAAGACAACAACACAACATGGTAGCAGCACAACATGGCAGCAGCACAAAACATGGTACAAACATTATTGGGCAGACAACAGCACAAAGGGCAAGAAGGTAGAGACAACAATACATCACGCGAAGCAGCCACCACTGGCAGTAAGAGTGTCCATGATGGAGTCTTTGAATGTAGAGATGGAGATAAAACTGTCCAGTTTCAGTGTTTTTTGCAGCTCGTTCCAGTCGCTAGCTGTAGATCGGTCAATCAGTGCTAGAGGAGTAGAGTTTTAAGGGATTTTCACAAAATTCTAAATGCCGGAAAATCCATCAAGCCGGACTTTATGGGTTCTTGTGGAAAATGTGTTCCTTGTGAGGAGAGGGACCTATGGACCACATTTCATGACTGCGGGGGCTGACCTTTAAAAGTGAGCATATTCAATTGCTTGTTATAGCGCCACCATGTGGCCAATTGGCATAGTATTGCATGAGAGGGTGTGGCCCTTTGGCCTTTACCACGTTGCTATGTTGCCCATTCCTGGGCTTTATCATCTCACGGGAAATTGCTTTTTTTTTCACCAAAACGGCAGAAAAATCTAAATAATAATAAGAATAATGAACTGGAACAAAAACAACAGGGGTTCTATTCTATCAGGCGACAATCCGGTTATCCTTCTCAGACCGAATCAACACCGCCACCTTGGACAATCCGGTTATCCTTCTCAGACCGAATCAACACCACCACCTTGGACAATCCGGTTATCCTTCTCAGACCGAATCAACACCGCCACCTTGTGTTCAGATCATGGAATCATCTGAAGACGTAACCACACAAAGCAGAATAAACGGTGCTGATGTGATTAACTCGGGGAACCGAATGAGCGATTACCATCTATCGTCAAGTATCCTAGAGGAGTAGGAACTGGGCTAGAATATCTATCGCCAAGTATCCTAGAGGAGTAGGAACTGGGCTAGAATATCTATCGCCAAGTATCCTAGAGGAGTAGGAACTGGGCTAGAGCGAGTGGAATCTCGGTTGTGTTTCCTGAAGACTTGCTCACTTGATCAGGTAGTAAGTTACTTTGTATCAAGGATGTAGCCAACTGCTTTCTACAAAGGCCTGCTTGGATGCAACACCTCCAATATTCTTTCCAGGGTAGACGGCTGGATTTGTATTGTAGATATGCTGCTGTTCAGTCGCTGTTTTTGGTCAGATGTGGCCAGACATTACGGACAAGATGGAGGCTACAGCTCCTGGAGGCTGTACAGTATAATAGCAGAGTGTTGCGTTAATACCGATATCCGTGTTTCCGGAGGGGACACCTGCACTCTCCAACTTCACACTAAGCGGGCCTATTCTTAATGCACATATCATAGGCCTGTTTATTAGGCTATTGGACAGCGTGATGAAGAAGAAATAGGAATTCGGTTCAATTATTGTTTCTTCCAAATCGGAGTCATGCTGCCATTTCATTTGTAGGCTACCCCATCGAAGAGAGAGTGTAGGTTTAGTATAGTCTTCAACAGCCTACATCCCCTTAATACTGTATGGTCACAAAGCCGTCCGTTCCAGCCGGTGGTCAGCAGAATGACTGATCCAAGCAGCAACACGGACTTTATGGCTGCCTACTCCGGTATCACCCGACCAAATGGAGCTGGCTGTGGGTTACCTCGTCGGACCGTGCTGAACTCTCCCCCTCCTCACGGCAGACTGACGTCCCTGCGGTCCCGGGACCTGACTCTGGGCGGGTTCAAAAAGGTGATACCAAATGGGAACGGTCATACTGTATATCACAGACTATGTACTCTACCCATAGAGATAGATAGAGGACTCATCTTTGTATCTGTGCCATCAGGGCCCTGCTCCAGTCATAAGCGAAATAAGCGGTTGCTTAGGGCCCCAGGCTGCTAAGGGGCCCCGCCCCCCCCACTAAATTTGCCATGTTAGATAAAAAAATTAGATTGATAAGTTAGCTGGCTAGACTATCTAAACTTGTAGTGATCATAGTGTAACAGTTTTGCTTCAGTCCCTCTCCTCGCCCCTACCTGGGCTTGAACCAGGGACCCTCTGCACACATCGACAACAGTCACCCTTGAAGCACCGTTACCCGTCGCTCCACAAAAGCCGCGGCCCTTGCAGAGCAAAGGGAAACAACTACTTCAAGGTCTCAGAGCGAGTGACGTCACCGATTGAAATGCTACTAGCGCGCACCGCTAACTAGCTAGCCATTTCACACCGGTTACACTAGCCGAATACCGACCGGTTACGCAGGGCACGTGCCCAGGGGCCTCGACCTCCAGTGAGCCCCCGTTGATTTTGTTAGTCACTATTACTCGGATATCGTTAACATGGCAAAAGTTATGGCAAAATGTGTAGAATTGCAGGAAATTTGCTGTAAAACTGCAACAAAAAAAATCACTCTGCCCTATGGCAAAACGAGTAGAATTGCATGAAATGTGTTATAAAATTGAAAAAATATATATCTTCACCCCATGGCAAAATGTGTAGAATTGCAGGAAATGAACTTTAAAAAATAAATATATTATCTCCACCATCAAGAGGGGGGCCACTAAAATGTAAATGTTCTTCTTCACGATTGGCTGAACCCTCCTAATGACCCAGTTGAACATGACTTCAACAGGATCCGGAGGAGGGGATCAGCCAATGAAGCTGGAAGTCCCACCCAGTTGAATACATTAAAATGGTGGAAGCACTCAATGGAGCTGCCCATGCTGACACCACAGATAGAACAATGAGACAGATATTTCACCCCATGTATAAATGTGAAGCATCCGCTTGGCGTTTCCACTCACTACCAAATATGGTAACGAGGAAGCCCATTGGCCAGCAGTGGGAGAAGACTAATTAAATTATTAATTAATTAATAAAGACTGAACCAGATGGATTTTGGCCGACATTCTGCTAATTTTCTCATCGATTAAACGTTTGATCTCAATACAATTTTCTGTTCCCAAAAGAACAATGAAGATGTTACAGAGTGGACAAAGTTTTGTAGACTTTACCCTTTTCCAACGTTTGAAAAAAATGTGCGTTGTTTAGGAGTGCAAAGGTGATTTGAGTTATTGCACATCACAGAGTAGGCGTTCCCTAACAGAAATATGCATATGCATGTCAGAACGCACCAATAGGATCTCGCTAGCTCGTGCTTGGCTCTGCTCACCACCTTGCTTGTTCTGCCCACTAGGACTCATTTGTTCCCGTTTGAAACGACGGGCTGCTTTATCTCGAGTTATAAAAATCTTTGCTAAATGGCCCTTTGGCCACTAGAGGCCTCTATCATTCTCTATGACTTGGTGAGGAGGAGGAGCTCCGTGGATTCTTCCTTCATGTCCAGAAGTAATTTAGCCATTCATTGTAGCCATTGGGCGCACTGTAGAGTTGCTATTTTCTCGGGTTTTCTAGTGTCAATTAACTTGTGACATTTCTGGATTACTCATTATATTAATAAAGTCTGATTTAATCAACAAATACGATAGTCAGTTTATAAAAGGTTAAGGGTACAAGACTGTGTACATATCTGGCTGTGTTGGCAAAATCACTACATATCCCATCGAGCCAAGCGGGGGAGGCTGCCCGTTGTCACAGTTCCGAGACCAATCAGAAACGTCCATCAAACCCTACGCCAATGACGTCGCTGGATCTCAAAACTGACCTTGGATCCGGGTTAAGTAGCAATGATATCCTCCTCCGCCGCAGTTGTCTCACGACACGACATATAGCTCAAACCAGTCATGACTGTTAAACAAAACAATAAGTCATTTAAGTTTCTTTCCAGCGAATTTCTTAGTTACATGATTGTATAACTAGCAAAGGAGTTTTGAAGTTGAGGGTGCAGTATTTATGAAGTTTGACAACGAGGACGAAAACTAACACAGCTAGTTTAGCCAGGGAAAACAAGCTCAGGCACGATATAGCTGGGCGCACATTCACACTAGGCTATTTCAGGACATATCGTAGTTTTTATGCCCTGATATCAGGAGCTGGCCGGGAAAGGTTTGATTAAACAATTCAGAGAGACTGAAAGGAATATATCGAATGAGAAATATTTAAGGAGAGCGAATCGATTCCTTTTCCGAAATCAGCTGTAACTGTCAATAGTAAAAGCTTAAAACGATGTCTGAGTGAACCTGAATCCAGAAAATGAATGGTGAAGTCTCTTCCGGACACCGTAGACTCCTCGTCCTCACCACTATTGTCAGTGTAACAGTGTTGCTTCCGTCTCTCTCCTTGACCCTACCTGGTCTTGAACCTGGGACCCTCTGCACACATCGACAACTGTCACCCTTGAAGCACCGTTACCCGTCGCTCCATAAAAGCCGCAGCCCTTGCAGAGCAAAGGGAAACAACTACTTCCAAGGTCTCAGAGCGAGTGACGTCACCGATTGAAACGCTACTAGTGCGCACCGCTAACTAGCTAGCCATTTCACACCGGTTACACTAGCACCACTAACTAGCTAGCCATTTCACACCGGTTACACTAGCACCACTAACTAGCTAGCCATTTCACACCGGTTACATCAGTAGCACTAAATAACCAGTCTACAGTGTAAATGGAAACAGTGGGTGATGAACAAAGGCAAATATACAGCTGTCCAGAGTCCTGTCACAAGCATTAAGCAAAACAGTCATGATATTCAGAAGTGACAAAATAGTATAAATTATGAATAATTTCTATTTTTATTACAGAAAACCTTCGTACCCAATGTCCATTCTCTGAGGAAGAGTAAAGATGAGTGAGTGTCGCCTGTATTGATTGAAGACACATTCCATTAGACTACCAAGGATACCGTTTAGATGAATTCATGTTAATGTTGAACTCCTTCCCCCAGGTTAAAGGAAGAGGCCCATGTTGCACCAAAGGACAGAAGAGAGAGGGAGGAGAGGCACAGGGAGAGCAGAGTGGAGAGAAGAGAGCGCCCCCCTCAGACCATTCAGTCCCACTCCATCTTTGAACAGGGTCCTGCAGGCACAATAAGGAAAGCAGGTGAACTGGACGTTCTCTGCCAGAAGCTGTCTTTAACAAACAGGAAAACAATAGGTTATTATTCTGATCATTAGAAACACTTGATTCCAGTGTGTCCTGTCCTCTGTTCTGAGCAGGGGGGTGGCGAGGGACCGACCTGAGAGACAGCGGATCCTCTCCTGGAGCCAAGTGTTTTAAGAAGGAGAGACGCGCCTCAGAGGAAGACGATAATGACATGTTACAGAAGATTCAACGGGATGATGTAAGGAAAACACACAGAGGAAAACGCACAGAGGAAAACACACAGAGGAAAACACACAGAGGAAAACACACAGAGGAAAACACACAGAGGAAAACACACAGCCGTAATGACTAGTCAACCTACAGTAAAACAGCCGTAATGACTAGTCAACCTACAGTAAAACAGCCGTAATGACTAGTCAACCTACAGTAAAACAGCCGTAATGACTAGTCAACCTACAGTAAAACAGCCTTAATGACTAGTCAACCTACAGTAAAACAGCCGTAATGACTAGTCAACCTACAGTAAAACAGCCTTAATGACTAGTCAACCTACAGTAAAACAGCCTTAATGACTGGTCAACCTACAGTAAAACAGCCGTAATGACTAGTCAACCTACAGTAAAACAGCCGTAATGACTAGTCAACCTACAGTAAAACAGCCGTAATGACTAGTCAACCTACAGTAAAACAGCCGTAATGACTAGTCAACCTACAGTAAAACAGCCTTAATGACTAGTCAACCTACAGTAAAACAGCCTTAATGACTAGTCAACCTACAGTAAAACAGCCGTAATGACTAGTCAACCTACAGTAAAACAGCCGTAATGACTAGTCAACCTACAGTAAAACAGCCGTAATGACTAGTCAACCTACAGTAAAACAGCCGTAATGACTAGTCAACCTACAGTAAAACAGCCTTAATGACTAGTCAACCTACAGTAAAACAGCCTTAATGACTAGTCAACCTACAGTAAAACAGCCGTAATGACTAGTCAACCTACAGTAAAACAGCCTTAAGACGAGTCAACCGAACAGTAAAACCAGCCGTAATGACTAGTCCAACCTACAGTAAAACAGCCGTAATGACTAGTCCACCTACCTTAACACCGTAATGACAGTCAACCTACATAAAACAGCCGTAATGACTAGTCAACCTACAGTAAAAACAGCCTTAATGACTAGTCAACCTACAGTAAAACATCCGTAATGACTAGTCAACCTACAGTAAAACAGCCGTAATGACTAGTCCAACCTACAGTAAAAAGCCCGTAATGACTAGTCAACCTACAGTAAAAACAGCTTAATGACTAGTAAACCTACAGTAAAATCAGCCGTCATGACTATGTCCAACCTACAGTAAAACAGCCTTAATGACTAGTCAACCTACAGTAAAACAGCCGTAATGACTAGTCAACCTAAAGTCGCTATAACATGGTGCTGTGTGGTTGAAATCAGGGCTTGGAACTGAAGTCTGAACGGAACCATTTTTTTGTTTGTTTCGTTTCTTTCTGTTCCGACCAGCAAAATAAAAGCTCAGAACCGGTTCGAACCAAAAACAAAAGTAGCGGTTTATATTGTTCCTTTCTGTTCCTTTTGAAACCTACTTCACCCATCATGCAGTGCAGATAGAGCAGCAAGCTATAGCTCAGTGACTTGTTTACAACGCGGGATGGAAAGACAAGTGTTGGGCGAGAGATGCAACTGAAATTTTGCGTGTGGGGAGAGAGTGAGAGAGGATGGAGGCGGCAGCTTGGCTTGAAACGCTGGGCGTCTTGTGATGACATGCATTATCTGAATTAGGCCCACAGAATTATACCTACGGAGGAGCGGCTTCTGGAGGAACCTTGAATGTCTTTGAACTTCAGAGTTGGTTTAACGTTGGACCAGAGAAGCTAGCTAGCTAACAAGCTTGTGTGTGCAGAGCGGCACCAGAATTCAAATCATGTCTTACCTTTTTGTAGTTAATAAATCCAATGTGAAATGTGATAACTATAGTATCCCTAACTAGCATTGAAAAAGTGAATGCATTCTTTAATTAGAAACCCCCCCAATCTTCTGAATCATGCTTGTAACGTCAGTAGGTTGCAGCTACGCTTCGGAAGGGGGAGGGGCAGGTAGCCTACACGCACACACAATGGCAACGATTTTTAGCTGGCAGGCAGACACTGGAAGAAGTTTCTGATTGACAGAGGGATAACGTTATTAACTGGTTCCCATATGTTTAACATAAGTTCTGTTCCGGAACAGTATAGATCACTTTCATTCCGGGTTCTGATTCTGTTCGTATACATTTTTTGTTATTTCCCTGAACCGGTTCCAACCCCTGGTTAGGGTTAGGGTTGAAAATATATATTCAGACATTTTAAACCACACACTTTCTTTTTAATTGTAGTTTTTGGATGATCCTGGTTTGAAAAATAATGCCAAGAACAGGCCGATTCAACTGCCACTGTATCAATCCAGCAACTTCCTGAAAACAGAGGCAATAACAACTCCATGTAAGTATATCCAGTGCCTTCAGAAAGTATTCATACCCCATTACTTTTGTTGTGTTACAGCCTGAATTCAAAATGGATGAAAAACATTTTTAGATTTTTTTGCGAATTTATCGAAAATTAAATACAGAAATATCTAATTTACATAAGTATTCACACCCCTGAGTCAATACATGTTAGAATCACCTTTCGCAGCGATTACAGCTGTGAGTCTTTCTGGGTAAGTCTCTAAGAGCTTTCACACCTGGACTGCACATTATTCTTAAAAATATTATTCAAGCTCTGTCAAGTTGGTTGTTGATTACATTTTACATTTTTTTAAAAACATTTTAGTCATTTAGCAGACGCTCTTTATCCAGAGCGACTTACAATAGTGAGTGCATACATTTTCGTATTGGTCCCCCGTGGGAATCAAACTCACAACCCTGGCGTTGCAAGCGCCATGCTCTACCAACTGAGCTACACAGGACACCATCATTGCAAGACAACCATTTTCAGGTCTTGCCATAGCAGACTTAACCCTCCCGTTGTCCTAGGGTCAAAATGACCCGCCACTGTGTTGAACCAACTTTATTTATTTTTAATTTTTTTGGGATCATTTGTGAGAAGGAGGCAGTGAGACTTTAAAGAAAGTATCACTGCCCCCTTCTCACAAATGATCCAAAAAATAAACGAATTAAATAAAGTTGGTTCAACACAGTGGCGGGTCATTTTGACCCTAGGACAATGGGAGGGTTAATTCAAAACTGTAACTAGGCCACTCAGGAACATTCAATGTCATTTTGGTAAACAACTCCAGCGTATATTTGGCCTTGTGTTTTAGGTTATTGTCCAGCTGAAAGGTGAATTTGGTTTCCACTGTGTTGGAAAGCAGACTGAACCAGGTTTTCGTCTAGGATTTTGCTTGTGCTTAGCTCTATTCTGTTTCTTTTTATATATTAAAAAAAAATCCCTAATCCTTGCTGATGACAAGCATCCCCATAACATGATGCAGCCACCACCAGGCTTGGAAATATGAAGTGGTACTCAGTGATGTGCTGTTGGATTTGCCCCAAACATAAAGCTTTGTATTCAGGACATAAAGTTAATTTCTTTGCCACATTTTTTGCAGTTTTACTTTAGTGCCTTATTGCAAACAGGAATATTTATTCTGTACAGGCGTCCTTCTTTTCACTCTGTCATTTAGGTTAGGATTGTGGAGTAACTACAATGTTGTTGATCCATCCTCAGGTCTCCTATCACAGCCATTAAACTCTTAACTGTTTTAAAGTCACCATTGGCCTCATTGTGAAATCCCTGAGCGGTTTCCTTCCTCTCCGGCAACTGAGTTAGGAAGGATGCCTTTATCTTAGTGACTGGGTGTATTGATACACCATCCAAAGTGTAATTAATATCTTCACCGTGCTCAGAGATATTCAATGTCTGCTTTTTACATTTGTGTCCTTCTTTACGAGGCATTGGAAAACCTCCTTGGTCTCTGTGTTTGAAATTCACTGCTCGACTGAGGGACCTTCCAGATAATTGTATGTGTGGGGTACAGAGATGAGGTAGTCATTCAAAAATTATGTTAAACACTATTAGACTATTACACTGAGTCCAATCAATCAACTTTATTTATAAAGCCCTTTTTACATCAGAAGATGCCACAAAGTGCTATACAGAAACCCAGCCTAAAACCTCAAACAGCAAGCAATGCAGATGTACAGTGGGGAAAAAAAGTATTTAGTCAGCCACCAATTGTTCAAGTTCTCCCACTTAAAAAGATGAGAGAGCCCGAGCCTTCCCAGGTGTCTCCTCCACCCGTTACGGGGTCTGAGTCAGAGCCCGAGCCTTCTCAGGTGTCTCCTCCACCCGTTACGGGGTCTGAGTCAGAGCCCGAGCCTTCCCAGGTGTCTCCTCCACACGTTACGGGGTCTGAGTCAGAGCCTTCCCAGGTCCCTCCTCCACCCGTTACGGGGTCTGAGTCAGAGCCTTCCCAGGGGTCTCCTCCACCCGTTACGGGGTCTGAGTCAGAGCCTTCCCAGGTGTCTCCTCCACCCGTTACGGGGTCTGAGTCAGAGCCCGAGCCTTCCCAGGTGTCTCCTCCACCCGTTACGGGGTCTGAGTCAGAGCCTTCCCAGGTGTCTCCTCCACCCGTTACGGGGTCTGAGTCAGAGCCCGAGCCTTCCCAGGTGTCTCCTCCACCCGTTACGGGGTCTGAGTCAGAGCCCGAGCCTTCCCAGGTGTCTCCTCCACCCGTTACGGGGTCTGAGTCAGAGCCTTCCCAGGTGTCTCCGCCACCCGTTACGGGGTCTGAGTCAGAGCCTTCCCAGGTGTCTCCTCCACCCGTTACGGGATCTGAGTCAGAGCCTTCCCAGGTGTCTCCTCCACCCGTTACGGGGTTTGAGTCAGAGCCTTCCCAGGTGTCTCCTCCACCCGTTACAGGGTCTGAGCCTTCCCAGGTGTATCCTCCACCCGTTACGGGGTCTGAGTCAGAGCCTTCCCAGGTGTCTCCTCCACCCGTTACGGGGTCTGAGTCAGAGCCCGAGCCTTCCCAGGTGTCTCCTCCACCCGTTACGGGGTCTGAGTCAGAGCCTTCCCAGGTGTCTCCTCCACCCGTTACGGGGTCTGAGTCAGAGCCCGAGCCTTCCCAGGTGTCTCCTCCACCCGTTACGGGGTCTGAGTCAGAGCCCGAGCCTTCCCAGGTGTCTCCTCCACCCGTTACTGGGTCTGAGTCAGAGCCCGAGCCTTCCCAGGTGTCTCCTCCACCCGTTACGGGGTCTGAGTCAGAGCCTTCCCAGGTGTCTCCTCCACCCGTTACGGGGTCTGAGTCAGAGCCTTCCCAGGTGTCTCCGCCACCCGTTACGGGGTCTGAGTCAGAGCCTTCCCAGGTGTCTCCTCCACCCGTTACTGGGTCTGAGTCAGAGCCCGAGCCTTCCCAGGTCTCTCCTTCACCCGTTACGGGGTCTGAGTCTTCCCAGGTGTCTCCTCCACCCGTTACGGGGTCTGAGTCAGAGCCCGAGCCTTCCCAGGTGTCTCCTCCACCCGTTACTGGGTCTGAGTCAGAGCCCGAGCCTTCCCAGGTGTCTCCTCCATCCGTTACGGGGTCTGAGTCAGAGCCCGAGCCTTCCCAGGTGTCTCCTCCACCCGTTACTGGGTCTGAGTCAGAGCCCGATTCTTCCCAGGTGTCTCCTCCACCCGTTACGGGGTCTGAGTCAGAGCCCGAGCCTTCCCAGGTGTCTCCTCCACCCGTTACGGGGTCTGAGTCAGAGCCCGAGCCTTCCCAGGTGTCTCCTCCACCCGTTACGGGGTCTGAGTCAGAGCCCGAGCCTTCCCAGGTGTCTCCTCCACCCGTTACGGGGTCTGAGTCAGAGCCTTCCCAGGTGTCTCCTCCACACGTTACGGGGTCTGAGTCAGAGCCCGAGCCTTCCCAGGTGTCTCCTCCACCCGTTACGGGGTCTGAGTCAGAGCCTTCCCAGGTATCTCCTCCAACCATTACGGGGTCTGAGTCAGAGCCTTCCCAGGTGTCTCCTCCACCCGTTACGGGGTCTGAGTCAGAGCCCGAGCCTTCCCAGGTGTCTCCTCCACCCGTTACTGGGTCTGAGTCAGAGCCTTCCCAGGTCCCTCCTCCACCCGTTACGGGGTCTGAGTCAGAGCCTTCCCAGGTGTCTCCTCCACCCGTTACGGGGTCTGAGTCAGAGCCTTCCCAGGGGTCTCCTCCACCCGTTACGGGGTCTGAGTCAGAGCCTTCCCAGGTGTCTCCTCCACCCGTTACGGGGTCTGAGTCAGAGCCCGAGCCTTCCCAGGTGTCTCCTCCACCCGTTACGGGGTCTGAGTCAGAGCCTTCCCAGGTGTCTCCTCCACCCGTTACGGGGTCTGAGTCAGAGCCCGAGCCTTCCCAGGTGTCTCCTCCACCCGTTACGGGGTCTGAGTCAGAGCCCGAGCCTTCCCAGGTGTCTCCTCCACCCGTTACGGGGTCTGAGTCAGAGCCCGAGCCTTCCCAGGTGTCTCCTCCACCCGTTACGGGGTCTGAGTCAGAGCCTTCCCAGGTGTCTCCGCCACCCGTTACGGGGTCTGAGTCAGAGCCTTCCCAGGTGTCTCCTCCACCCGTTACGGGATCTGAGTCAGAGCCTTCCCAGGTGTCTCCTCCACCCGTTACGGGGTTTGAGTCAGAGCCTTCCCAGGTGTCTCCTCCACCCGTTACAGGGTCTGAGCCTTCCCAGGTGTATCCTCCACCCGTTACGGGGTCTGAGTCAGAGCCTTCCCAGGTGTCTCCTCCACCCGTTACGGGGTCTGAGTCAGAGCCCGAGCCTTCCCAGGTGTCTCCTCCACCCGTTACGGGGTCTGAGTCAGAGCCTTCCCAGGTGTCTCCTCCACCCGTTACGGGGTCTGAGTCAGAGCCCGAGCCTTCCCAGGTGTCTCCTCCACCCGTTACGGGGTCTGAGTCAGAGCCCGAGCCTTCCCAGGTGTCTCCTCCACCCGTTACTGGGTCTGAGTCAGAGCCCGAGCCTTCCCAGGTGTCTCCTCCACCCGTTACGGGGTCTGAGTCAGAGCCTTCCCAGGTGTCTCCTCCACCCGTTACGGGGTCTGAGTCAGAGCCTTCCCAGGTGTCTCCGCCACCCGTTACGGGGTCTGAGTCAGAGCCTTCCCAGGTGTCTCCTCCACCCGTTACTGGGTCTGAGTCAGAGCCCGAGCCTTCCCAGGTCTCTCCTTCACCCGTTACGGGGTCTGAGTCTTCCCAGGTGTCTCCTCCACCCGTTACGGGGTCTGAGTCAGAGCCCGAGCCTTCCCAGGTGTCTCCTCCACCCGTTACTGGGTCTGAGTCAGAGCCCGAGCCTTCCCAGGTGTCTCCTCCATCCGTTACGGGGTCTGAGTCAGAGCCCGAGCCTTCCCAGGTGTCTCCTCCACCCGTTACTGGGTCTGAGTCAGAGCCCGATTCTTCCCAGGTTGTCTCCTCCACCCGTTACGGGGTCTGAGTCAGAGCCCGAGCCTTCCCAGGTGTCTCCTCCACCCGTTACGGGGTCTGAGTCAGAGCCCGAGCTTCCCAGGTGTCTCCTCCACCCGTTACGGGGTCTGAGTCAGAGCCCGAGCCTTCCCAGGTGTCTCCTCCACCCGTTACGGGGTCTGAGTCAGAGCCTTCCCAGGTGTCTCCTCCACACGTTACGGGGTCTGAGTCAGAGCCCGAGCCTTCCCAGGTGTCTCCTCCACCCGTTACGGGGTCTGAGTCAGAGCCTTCCCAGGTATCTCCTCGAGCCTTCCCAGGTGTCTCCTCCACCCGTTACTGGGTCTGAGTCAGAGCCTTCCCAGGTCCCTCCTCCACCCGTTACGGGGTCTGAGTCAGAGCCTTCCCAGGTGTCTCCTCCACCCGTTACGGGGTCTGAGTCAGAGCCTTCCCAGGTGTCTCCTCCACCCGTTACGGGGTCTGACTCAGTCCCCGAGCCTTCCCAGGTGTCTCCTCCACCCGTTACTGGGTCTGAGTCAGAGCCCGAGCCTTCCCAGGTCTCTCCTCCACCCGTTACGGGGTCTGAGTCTTCCCAGGTGTCTCCTCCACCCGTTACGGGGTCTGAGTCAGAGCCCGAATCTTCCCAGGTGTCTCCTCCACCCGTTACTGGGTCTGAGTCAGAGCCCGAGCCTTCCCAGGTGTCTCCTCCACCCGTTACGGGGTCTGAGTCAGAGCCCGAGCCTTCCCAGGTGTCTCCTCCACCCGTTACTGGGTCTGAGTCAGAGCCCGATTCTTCCCAGGTGTCTCCTCCACACGTTACGGGGTCTGAGTCAGAGCCTGAGCCTTCCCAGGTGTCTCCTCCACCCGTTACGGGGTCTGAGTCAGAGCCTTCCCAGGTATCTCCTCCAACCGTTACGGGGTCTGAGTCAGAGCCTTCCCAGGTGTCTCCTCCACCCGTTACGGGGTCTGAGTCAGAGCCCGAGCCTTCCCAGGTGTCTCCTCCACCCGTTACTGGGTCTGAGTCAGAGCCTTCCCAGGTGTCTCCTCCACCCGTTACGGGGTCTGAGTCAGAGCCTTCCCAGGTGTCTCCTCCACCCGTTACAGGGTCTGAGTCAGAGCCCGAGCCTTCCCAGGTCTCTCCTCCACCCGTTACGGGGTCTGAGTCAGAGCCTTCCCAGGTGTCTCCTCCACCCGTTACTGGGTCTGAGTCAGAGCCCGATTCTTCCCAGGTGTCTCCTCCACACGTTACGGGGTCTGAGTCAGAGCCTGAGCCTTCCCAGGTGTCTCCTCCACCCGTTACGGGGTCTGAGTCAGAGCCTTCCCAGGTATCTCCTCCAACCGTTACGGGGTCTGAGTCAGAGCCTTCCCAGGTGTCTCCTCCACCCGTTACGGGGTCTGAGTCAGAGCCCGAGCCTTCCCAGGTGTCTCCTCCACCCGTTACTGGGTCTGAGTCAGAGCCTTCCCAGGTGTCTCCTCCACCCGTTACGGGGTCTGAGTCAGAGCCTTCCCAGGTGTCTCCTCCACCCGTTACAGGGTCTGAGTCAGAGCCCGAGCCTTCCCAGGTCTCTCCTCCACCCGTTACGGGGTCTGAGTCAGAGCCTTCCCAGGTGTCTCCTCCACCCGTTACGGGGTCTGAGTCAGAGCCCGAGCCTTCCCAGGTGTCTCCTCCACCCGTTACTGGGTCTGAGTCAGAGCCCGAGCCTTCCCAGGTGTCTCCTCCACCCGTTACGGGGTCTGAGTCAGAGCCTTCCCAGGTGTCTCCTCCACCCGTTACGGGGTCTGAGTCAGAGCCCGAGCCTTCCCAGGTCTCTCCTCCACCCGTTACGGGGTCTGAGTCTTCCCAGGTGTCTCCTCCACCCGTTACGGGGTCTGAGTCAGAGCCCGAGCCTTCCCAGGTGTCTCCTCCAACCGTTACGGGGTCTGAGTCAGAGCCTTCCCAGGTGTCTCCTCCACCCGTTACTGGGTCTGAGTCAGAGCCCGAGCCTTCCCAGGTGTCTCCTCCACCCGTTACGGGGTCTGAGTCAGAGCCCGAGCCTTCCCAGGTGGCTCCTCCACCCGTTACTGGGTCTGAGTCAGAGCCCGATTCTTCCCAGGTGTCTCCTCCACACGTTACGGGGTCTGAGTCAGAGCCCGAGCCTTCCCAGGTGTCTCCTCCACCCGTTACGGGGTCTGAGTCAGAGCCTTCCCAGGTGTCTCCTCCACCCGTTACTGGGTCTGAGTCAGAGCCCGAGCCTTCCCAGGTGTCTCCTCCACCCGTTACAGGGTCTGAGTCAGAGCCCGAGCCTTCCCAGGTGTCTCCTCCACCCGTTACGGGGTCTGAGTCAGAGCCTTCCCAGGTGTCTCCTCCACCCGTTACGGGGTCTGAGTCAGAGCCTTCCCAGGTGTCTCCTACACCCGTTACGGGGTCTGAGTCAGAGCCTTCCCAGGTGTCTCCTCCACCCGTTACGGGGTCTGAGTCAGAGCCTTCCCAGGTGTCTCCTCCACCCGTTACGGGGTCTGAGTCAGAGCCCGAGCCTTCCCAGGTGTCTCCTCCACCCGTTACAGGGTCTGAGTCAGAGCCCGAGCCTTCCCAGGTCTCTCCTCCACCCGTTACGGGTTCTGAGCTGCTGAAGCCTCCCCACCATTAGCTCTGACAAATAGAAAACAGTCATTGGCGACTCCATTATCCACAATATTAGACTTAAACAGAATCCTCCAGCGATCATACACTGTTTACCAGGGGGCAGGGCTCCCGACGTAAAGGCTAATCTGAAGATGGTGCTGGCTGAGACTAAAACTGGAGAGTGTAGATGGTATAGGGATATTGTTATCCACGTCGGCACCAACGATGTTAGGATGAAACAGTCAGAGGTCACCAAGCTCAACATAGCTTCAGCGTGTAAATCAGCTAGAAAGATGAGTTGGAGTGGAGTAATTGTCTCTGGCCCCTCCCAGTGGGGGATTAACACTACTCCCTGTACTTACTGGTGGCACAGACGCTGTATCATCCTTTCCTACACCTCCATTGCCCTTGTCTAACGACTGCGTCTGAAGCAGAGTTTGCAACACAGCTAACCTCACCATAAGGCGATCATTCTCCTGTATATTAAGAGTACAGCGGCTGCAATGAGAAGCATAATGTTACTTAGCTTTTTGGGCTGGAGGAGGTCCTGCAGATCCATGCCAGATAAAACGCTTTCACCCCGGATGCTTTATGAAAAACATTGAGTGAAGACAAAACTAAGATGTTGGTAAACTTGTTAAATACAGAGTTTGATGTAACTGTTAACAGTAAAAAGAGAGTTTGTCGGGTAGCCAAGTAGCATCAAACAGCACAGCAGTACAGAGACAACGGGGAAGTCCATTGGTCAGCACATTTTTACTCCTGAACTGATTTAGGCATGCCATAACAAAGGGGTTGAATACTCAAGACATTTCAGCTTTTCCATTTGTAATTAATTTGTTCATTTCTACAAACATAATTCCACTTTGACATTATGGGGTATTGTGTGTAGGCCAGTGACACAATCTCAATTGGATCCATTTTAAATTCAGGCTGTAACAAAACAAAATGAGGAATAAGTCCAGGGGTGTGAATGCTTTCTGAAGGCACTGTATGCACATAATACAGTATGTAGACCATTAGACATGCACATATGGAGGTGTACAGACTCAATACATAAAATACATGATAAATGTGTGTCTTTGTTCCCAGGTAGTTGATCGTCCTGTGTTTGTTGCCCTACAGGGTTCAGAGCCTCTGCTGCTACTGGCCCAGACCAGCCCCTTCAGTACGGACCAGGCCAGGGGGTCCTGAGCCCAGACCAGACCCTTCAGTATAGACCAGGCCAGGGGGTCCTGAGCCCAGACCAGACCCTTCAGTACGGACCAGTCCAGGGGGTCCTGAGCCCAGACCAGACCCTTCAGTATAGACCAGTCCAGGGGGTCCTGAGCCCAGACCAGACCCTTCAGTACGGACCAGGCCAGGGGGTCCTGAGCCCAGACCAGCCCCTTCAGTACGGACCAGGCCAGGGGGTCCTGAGCCCAGACCAGACCCCTCAGTACGGACCAGTCCAGGGGGTCCTGAGCCCAGACCAGACCCCTCAGTACGGACCAGGCCAGGGGGTCCTGAGCCCAGACCAGACCCCTCAGTACGGACCAGTCCAGGGGGTCCTGAGCCCAGACCAGACCCCTCAGTACGGACCAGGCCAGGGGGTCCTGAGCCCAGACCAGCCCCTTCAGTACGGACCAGGCCAGGGGGTCCTGGGCCCAGACCAGCCCTCTGTAGCAGAGCTCTTCCACCAGCTGACGGTTTCAGAGACAGAAGAGTTGCTGTTCATCCAGCTACCTGATACTATCCCTGGCCAGCCAACCACAGCATCCGCCCCGAGCCAGCCAACCACAGCCACCGGCCAGCCAATCATAGCCCCAGAGAAAAATGCTAAAAAAGACTCCAAGTCCGATGGCAAGCGCTCCTCTCACATTAAAGCACCAGTGAGTAAAGACCACATATTCTATCCTTATTTTCTATCAGCCACTTCATTCTAACAGAGAATGAAAAAACCATCTGAGTAAACGGCCAAGTTGCTCCTCAGGACCCTGCTGGAGATAGCGTTCCAATCCGGTCAGAGTTCTCCTAACCCTAACCTCAACCCTAAAGGCCATGTTCTTCCTCAGGACCCTGCTGGAGATAGCGTTCCAATCCGGTCAGAGTTCTCCTAACCCTAACCTCAACCCTAAAGGCCATGTTCTTCCTCAGGACCCTGCTGGAGATAGCGTTCCAATCCGGTCAGAGTTCTCCTAACCCTAACCTCAACCCTAAAGGCCATGTTCTTCCTCAGGACCCTGCTGGTAGATAGCGTTCCAATCCGGTCAGGTTCTCCTAACCCTAACCTCAACCCTAAAGGCCATGTTCTTCCTCAGGACCCTGCTGGAGATAGCGTTCCAATCCGGTCAGAGTTCTCCTAACCCTAACCTCAACCCTAAAGGCCATGTTCTTCCTCAGGACCCTGCTGGAGATAGCGTTCCAATCCGGTCAGAGTTCTCCTAACCCTAACCTCAACCCTAAAGGCCATGTTCTTCCTCAGGACCCTGCTGGAGATAGCGTTCCAATCCGGTCAGAGTTCTCCTAACCCTAACCTCAACCCTAAAGGCCATGTTCTTCCTCAGGACCCTGCTGGAGATAGCGTTCCAATCCGGTCAGAGTTCTCCTAACCCTAACCTCAACCCTAAAGGCCATGTTCTTCCTCAGGACCCTGCTGGAGATAGCGTTCCAATCCGGTCAGAGTTCTCCCTAACCCTAACCTCAACCCTAAAGGCCATGTTCTTCCTCAGGACCCTGCTGGAGATAGCGTTCCAATCCGGTCAGAGTTCTCCTAACCCTAACCTCAACCCTAAAGGCCATGTTCTTCCCTCCAGGACCCTGCTGGGATGCGTTGCCAATCCGTCAGATCTCTTAACCTCATGAGGCCCTTCCTCAGGACCCTGCTGGTAAAGACGTTCCTGTCCTGTCAGAGTTCACAGAGGGGATTCTGGGTAAACTACAGATCAGGAAGTCTGGCAAGGTGCAGCTGCTGCTGGGAGACATCACTATGGACGTCTCTGAGGGAGCCGCCTTCCCCTTCCTACAGGTAGGTTAATATAATAGTTACCCAGGACAGGGTTATATGGTGCTGGGAGACATCACTATGGACATCTCAGAGGGAGAGGCCTTCCCCTTCCTACAGGTAGGTTAATATAATAGTTACCCAGGACAGGGTTAGATGGTGTTGGGAGACATCACTATGGACATCTCAGAGGGAGAGGCCTTCCCCTTCCTACAGGTAGGTTAATATAATAGTTACCCAGGACAGGGTTAGATGGTGTTGGGAGACATCACTATGGACATCTCAGAGGGAGAGGCCTTCCCCTTCCTACAGGTAGGTTAATATAATAGTTACCCAGGACAGGGTTAGATGGTGTTGGGAGACATCACTATGGACATCTCAGAGGGAGAGGCCTTCCCCTTCCTACAGGTAGGTTAATATAATAGTTACCCAGAACAGGGTTAGATGGTGTTGGGAGACATCACTATGGACATCTCAGAGGGAGAGGCCTTCCCCTTCCTACAGGTAGGTTAATATAATAGTTACCCAGGACAGGGTTAGATGGTGCTGGGAGACATCACTATGGACATCTCAGAGGGAGAGGCCTTCCCCTTCCTACAGGTAGGTTAATATAATAGTTACCCAGGACAGGGTTATATGGTGTTGGGAGACATCACTATGGACATCTCAGAGGGAGAGGCCTTCCCCTTCCTACAGGTAGGTTAATATAATAGTTACCCAGGACAGGGTTAGATGGTGTTGGGAGACATCACTATGGACATCTCAGAGGGAGAGGCCTTCCCCTTCCTACAGGTAGGTTAATATAATAGTTACCCAGAACAGGGTTATATGGTGCTGGGAGACATCACTATGGACATCTCAGAGGGAGAGGCCTTCCCCTTCCTACAGGTAGGTTAATATAATAGTTACCCAGGACAGGGTTATATGGTGTTGGGAGACATCACTATGGACATCTCAGAGGGAGAGGCCTTCCCCTTCCTACAGGTAGGTTAATATAATAGTTACCCAGGACAGGGTTATATGGTGTTGGGAGACATCACTATGGACATCTCAGAGGGAGAGGCCTTCCCCTTCCTACAGGTAGGTTAATATAATAGTTACCCAGGACAGGGTTAGATGGTGTTGGGAGACATCACTATGGACATCTCAGAGGGAGAGGCCTTCCCCTTCCTACAGGTAGGTTAATATAATAGTTACCCAGGACAGGGTTATATGGTGTTGGGAGACATCACTATGGACATCTCAGAGGGAGAGGCCTTCCCCTTCCTACAGGTAGGTTAATATAATAGTTACCCAGGACAGGGTTATATGGTGCTGGGAGACATCACTATGGACATCTCAGAGGGAGAGGCCTTCCCCTTCCTACAGGTAGGTTAATATAATAGTTACCCAGGACAGGGTTAGATGGTGTTGGGAGACATCACTATGGACATCTCAGAGGGAGAGGCCTTCCCCTTCCTACAGGTAGGTTAATATAATAGTTACCCAGAACAGGGTTAGATGGTGCTGGGAGACATCACTATGGACATCTCAGAGGGAGAGGCCTTCCCCTTCCTACAGGTAGGTTAATATAATAGTTACCCAGGACAGGGTTATATGGTGTTGGGAGACATCACTATGGACATCTCAGAGGGAGAGGCCTTCCCCTTCCTACAGGTAGGTTAATATAATAGTTACCCAGGACAGGGTTAGATGGTGTTGGGAGACATCACTATGGACATCTCAGAGGGAGAGGCCTTCCCCTTCCTACAGGTAGGTTAATATAATAGTTACCCAGGACAGGGTTATATGGTGTTGGGAGACATCACTATGGACATCTCAGAGGGAGAGGCCTTCCCCTTCCTACAGGTAGGTTAATATAATAGTTACCCAGGACAGGGTTATATGGTGTTGGGAGACATCACTATGGACATCTCAGAGGGAGAGGCCTTCCCCTTCCTACAGGTAGGTTAATATAATAGTTACCCAGGACAGGGTTATATGGTGTTGGGAGACATCACTATGGACATCTCAGAGGGAGAGGCCTTCCCCTTCCTACAGGTAGGTTAATATAATAGTTACCCAGGACAGGGTTAGATGGTGTTGGGAGACATCACTATGGACATCTCAGAGGGAGAGGCCTTCCCCTTCCTACAGGTAGGTTAATATAATAGTTACCCAGGACAGGGTTAGATGGTGTTGGGAGACATCACTATGGACATCTCAGAGGGAGAGGCCTTCCCCTTCCTACAGGTAGGTTAATATAATAGTTACCCAGGACAGGGTTAGATGGTGTTGGGAGACATCACTATGGACATCTCAGAGGGAGAGGCCTTCCCCTTCCTACAGGTAGGTTAATATAATAGTTACCCAGGACAGGGTTAGATGGTGTTGGGAGACATCACTATGGACATCTCAGAGGGAGAGGCCTTCCCCTTCCTACAGGTAGGTTAATATAATAGTTACCCAGGACAGGGTTAGATGGTGTTGGGAGACATCACTATGGACATCTCAGAGGGAGAGGCCTTCCCCTTCCTACAGGTAGGTTAATATAATAGTTACCCAGGACAGGGTTATATGGTGTTGGGAGACATCACTATGGACATCTCAGAGGGAGAGGCCTTCCCCTTCCTACAGGTAGGTTAATATAATAGTTACCCAGGACAGGGTTATATGGTGTTGGGAGACATCACTATGGACATCTCAGAGGGAGAGGCCTTCCCCTTCCTACAGGTAGGTTAATATAATAGTTACCCAGGACAGGGTTATATGGTGTTGGGAGACATCACTATGGACATCTCAGAGGGAGAGGCCTTCCCCTTCCTACAGGTAGGTTAATATAATAGTTACCCAGGACAGGGTTATATGGTGTTGGGAGACATCACTATGGACATCTCAGAGGGAGAGGCCTTCCCCTTCCTACAGGTAGGTTAATATAATAGTTACCCAGGACAGGGTTATATGGTGTTGGGAGACATCACTATGGACATCTCAGAGGGAGAGGCCTTCCCCTTCCTACAGGTAGGTTAATATAATAGTTACCCAGGACAGGGTTATATGGTGTTGGGAGACATCACTATGGACATCTCAGAGGGAGAGGCCTTCCCCTTCCTACAGGTAGGTTAATATAATAGTTACCCAGGACAGGGTTATATGGTGTTGGGAGACATCACTATGGACATCTCAGAGGGAGAGGCCTTCCCCTTCCTACAGGTAGGTTAATATAATAGTTACCCAGGACAGGGTTATATGGTGTTGGGAGACATCACTATGGACATCTCAGAGGGAGAGGCCTTCCCCTTCCTACAGGTAGGTTAATATAATAGTTACCCAGGACAGGGTTATATGGTGCTGGGAGACATCACTATGGACATCTCAGAGGGAGAGGCCTTCCCCTTCCTACAGGTAGGTTAATATAATAGTTACCCAGGACAGGGTTAGATGGTGCTGGGAGACATCACTATGGACATCTCAGAGGGAGAGGCCTTCCCCTTCCTACAGGTAGGTTAATATAATAGTTACCCAGGACAGGGTTAGATGGTGCTGGGAGACATCACTATGGACATCTCAGAGGGAGAGGCCTTCCCCTTCCTACAGGTAGGTTAATATAATAGTTACCCCAGGACAGGGTTATATGGTGCTGGGAGACATCACTATGGACATCTCAGAGGGAGAGGCCTTCCCCTTCCTACAGGTAGGTTAATATAATAGTTACCCAGGACAGGGTTATATGGTGTTGGGAGACATCACTATGGACATCTCAGAGGGAGAGGCCTTCCCCTTCCTACAGGTAGGTTAATATAATAGTTACCCAGGACAGGGTTAGATGGTGTTGGGAGACATCACTATGGACATCTCAGAGGGAGAGGCCTTCCCCTTCCTACAGGTAGGTTAATATAATAGTTACCCAGGACAGGGTTAGATGGTGTTGGGAGACATCACTATGGACATCTCAGAGGGAGAGGCCTTCCCCTTCCTACAGGTAGGTTTAGGTTAATATAATAGTTACCCAGGACAGGGTTATATGGTGTTGGGAGACATCACTATGGACATCTCAGAGGGAGAGGCCTTCCCCTTCCTACAGGTAGGTTAATATAATAGTTACCCAGGACAGGGTTAGATGGTGTTGGGAGACATCACTATGGACATCTCAGAGGGAGAGGCCTTCCCCTTCCTACAGGTAGGTTAATATAATAGTTACCCAGGACAGGGTTATATGGTGTTGGGAGACATCACTATGGACATCTCAGAGGGAGAGGCCTTCCCCTTCCTACAGGTAGGTTAATATAATAGTTACCCAGGACAGGGTTAGATGGTGTTGGGAGACATCACTATGGACATCTCAGAGGGAGAGGCCTTCCCCTTCCTACAGGTAGGTTAATATAATAGTTACCCAGGACAGGGTTATATGGTGTTGGGAGACATCACTATGGACATCTCAGAGGGAGAGGCCTTCCCCTTCCTACAGGTAGGTTAATATAATAGTTACCCAGGACAGGGTTATATGGTGTTGGGAGACATCACTATGGACATCTCAGAGGGAGAGGCCTTCCCCTTCCTACAGGTAGGTTAATATAATAGTTACCCAGGACAGGGTTAGATGGTGTTGGGAGACATCACTATGGACATCTCAGAGGGAGAGGCCTTCCCCTTCCTACAGGTAGGTTAATATAATAGTTACCCAGGACAGGGTTAGATGGTGTTGGGAGACATCACTATGGACATCTCAGAGGGAGAGGCCTTCCCCTTCCTACAGGTAGGTTAATATAATAGTTACCCAGGACAGGGTTAGATGGTGTTGGGAGACATCACTATGGACATCTCAGAGGGAGAGGCCTTCCCCTTCCTACAGGTAGGTTAATATAATAGTTACCCAGGACAGGGTTAGATGGTGTTGGGAGACATCACTATGGACATCTCAGAGGGAGAGGCCTTCCCCTTCCTACAGGTAGGTTAATATAATAGTTACCCAGGACAGGGTTAGATGGTGTTGGGAGACATCACTATGGACATCTCAGAGGGAGAGGCCTTCCCCTTCCTACAGGTAGGTTAATATAATAGTTACCCAGGACAGGGTTAGATGGTGTTGGGAGACATCACTATGGACATCTCAGAGGGAGAGGCCTTCCCCTTCCTACAGGTAGGTTAATATAATAGTTACCCAGGACAGGGTTAGATGGTGTTGGGAGACATCACTATGGACATCTCAGAGGGAGAGGCCTTCCCCTTCCTACAGGTAGGTTAATATAATAGTTACCCAGGACAGGGTTAGATGGTGTTGGGAGACATCACTATGGACATCTCAGAGGGAGAGGCCTTCCCCTTCCTACAGGTAGGTTAATATAATAGTTACCCAGGACAGGGTTATATGGTGCTGGGAGACATCACTATGGACGTCTCAGAGGGAGAGGCCTTCCCCTTCCTACAGGTAGGTTAATATAATAGTTACCCAGGACAGGGTTAGATGCTGCTGGGAGACATCACTATGGACATCTCAGAGGGAGAGGCCTTCCCCTTCCTACAGGTAGGTTAATATAATAGTTACCCAGGACAGGGTTAGATGGTGTTGGGAGACATCACTATGGACATCTCAGAGGGAGAGGCCTTCCCCTTCCTACAGGTAGGTTAATATAATAGTTACCCAGGACAGGGTTAGATGGTGTTGGGAGACATCACTATGGACATCTCAGAGGGAGAGGCCTTCCCCTTCCTACAGGTAGGTTAATATAATAGTTACCCAGGACAGGGTTAGATGGTGTTGGGAGACATCACTATGGACATCTCAGAGGGAGAGGCCTTCCCCTTCCTACAGGTAGGTTAATATAATAGTTACCCAGGACAGGGTTATATGGTGTTGGGAGACATCACTATGGACATCTCAGAGGGAGAGGCCTTCCCTTAACGGTCTAGTTCTCCTGTTTCATCCTAAAGAACCACGTAGTCCTCTATCACTGTCCAGACAATAATGGTTTAGGGTCAGACAATAAGGGGTTAAATCATCTAGGGGAAACTAACGTATTATTTCTCCCACAGCAGCTGGTGTCTGTGCGTCTGTCTGAGGGCCTGACTGGAGACATGAGGATCCTGGGGAACGTCAAGCACAAGCTGGTCTGCTCTCCAGACTTCCAGGCTCTGCTACAGGAGCCATCACCTCACCAATCAGCACATCTCTAACTCTGCTACAGGAGCCATCACCTCACCAATCAGCACATCTCTAACTCTGCTACAGGAGCCATCACCTTACCAATCAGCACATCTCTAACTCTGCTACAGGAGCCATCACCTTACCAATCAGCACATCTCTAACTCTGCTACAGGAGCCATCACCTTACCAATCAGCACATCTCTAACTCTGCTACAGGAGCCATCACCTTACCAATCAGCACATCTCTAACTCTGCTACAGGAGCCATCACCTTACCAATCAGCACATCTCTAACTCTGCTACAGGAGCCATCACCTTACCAATCAGCACATCTCTAACTCTGCTACAGGAGCCATCACCTTACCAATCAGCACATCTCTAACTCTGCTACAGGAGCCATCACCTTACCAATCAGCACATCTCTAACTCTGCTACAGGAGCCATCACCTTACCAATCAGCACATCTCTAACTCTGCTACAGGAGCCATCACCTTACCAATCAGCACATCTCTAACTCTGCTACAGGAGCCATCACCTTACCAATCAGCACATCTCTAACTCTGCTACAGGAGCCATCACCTTACCAATCAGCACATCTCTAACTCTGCTACAGGAGCCATCACCTTACCAATCAGCACATCTCTAACTCTGCTACAGGAGCCATCACCTCACCAATCAGCACATCTCTAACTCTGCTACAGGAGCCATCACCTTACCAATCAGCACATCTCTAACTCACCTTTTTCAGCATCAATGTGTAGATATTGTACACAGTTGTATTATAAAATGTGAGCATTAATGTGTAGATATTGTACATAGTTTACTTTCATCATAAAGCGTTTCTTATGTACCTTGGTCGATTTCCCCCCAATTTGTTTTCACTGTATAAACATGGTGTATATGAAGTGTCATTTATTTTGAAAATGTATGTAAATGTTTATTTAATAAAAGATTAGATACAAAACATGAGGCAACTTTTACGCAGGAAAACACTAATACATTCTACAAGCAAAGTAACTTGTAACTGGTATGTCAACGCTGTCTTGTTCTTCAGCCGGCAAGTCTCTTAACAAAGACTGTATCTAGTATAGACTAGCCTGTACAGGATGTCATATACAGAACGTGGCCCTGATGACAGGAACTTAACTTCAACATAATTCATATTTTCATACTAGAAAGAACACTGCTTTAATGATAGTTTACAATAAAGCACAGTCAATTCTCATAATTCTGCAGAAACTGTCAGTTGAGAATGTTAATGTTTCCCGATCTTTCCCAGACTGATGCCTTGAAGGTTCTTTCACAGTTTGGAGGTGCTACGAGCATTGATAGGACACTATGATTATTTACAACTGATAACTGAAACAAAATGACTTTTATTTGGGACGGTAACTTGCCTTTCTAACAGAACCCTTCCTCTCCAGAACAACTCAAGCCTTTTTCCTGCTCCTCGCTGTAGTCGCTGCTGCAGCTTTGGTTTCCACCACTTTCCCTTTGGATTTCTTTTTGCCTCCTTTAGTGGCGGTTTTCTTCTTGCGGGTCTCTTTCCGTCTGATCAGATCCTCCCGTCCGATATCCATCATGTGTTCCTCCCAGGACTTTATCTCATTTTTATAGCGCACCTTGTCATCCTCCGCCAGCTGCATGTAAACCTGAAACATAACATCACAGAGTCCGTCAGCTGTGTGCATACATACGATAACATACGCACTATACACACACATGGATGTTGTGTTATTGATATGTGGTAGTAGAGTAGAGGCCTGAGGGTACACACTTAATATGTTGTGAAATCTGTTATGAATGTATTCATGTTTTTAAAATGTATAACTGCCTTAATTTTGCTGGACCCCAGGAAGAGTAGCTGCTGCCTTGGCAGGAACTAATGGGGATCCATAATAAACCCCAGGAAGAGTAGCTGCTGCCTTGACAGGAACTAATGGGGATCCATAATAAACCCCAGGAAGAGTAGCTGCTGCCTTGGCAGGAACTAATGGGGATCCATAATAAACCCCAGGAAGAGTAGCTGCTGCCTTGGCAGGAACTAATGGGGATCCATAATAAACCCCAGGAAGAGTAGCTGCTGCCTTGGCAGGAACTAATGGGGATCCATAATAAACCCCAGGAAGAGTAGCTGCTGCCTTGGCAGGAACTAATGGGAATCCATAATAAACCCCAGGAAGAGTAGCCGCTGCCTTGGCAGGAACTAATGGGGATCCATAATAAACCCCAGGAAGAGTAGCTGCTGCCTTGGCAGGAACTAATGGGGATCCATAATAAACCCCAGGAAGAGTAGCTGCTGCCTTGGCAGGAATAACTATATCAGTCACTATATATATATATATATAACAGTCACTATATCCCACCCCTACAGTACCACACCTACAGAACCAGTCACTATATACCACACCTACAGAACCAGTCACTATATACCACACCTACAGAACCAGTCACACCTACAGAACCAGTCACTATATACCACACCTACAGTACCAGTCACTATATACCACACCTACAGTACCACACCTACAGAACCAGTCACTATATACCACACCTACAGAACCAGTCACTATATACCACACCTACAGTACCAGTCACTATATACCACACCTACAGAACCAGTCACTATATACCACACCTACAGTACCAGTCACTATATACCACACCTACAGAACCAGTCACTATATACCACACCTACAGTACCAGTCACTATATACCACACCTACAGAACCAGTCACTATATACCACACCTACAGAACCAGTCACTATATACCACACCTACAGAACCAGTCACTATATACCACACCTACAGAACCAGTCACTATATACCACACCTACAGAACCAGTCCCTATATACCACACCTACAGAACCAGTCACTATATACCACACCTACAGAACCAGTCACTATATACCACACCTACAGTACCACACCTACAGAACCAGTCACTATATACCACACCTACAGAACCAGTCACTATATACCACACCTACAGAACCAGTCACTATATACCACACCTACAGAACCAGTCACTATATACCACACCTACAGAACCAGTCACTATATACCACACCTACAGAACCAGTCACTATATACCACACCTACAGTACCAGTCACTATATACCACACCTACAGAACCAGTCACTATATACCACACCTACAGAACCAGTCACTATATACCACACCTACAGAACCAGTCACTATATACCACACCTACAGAACCAGTCACTATATACCACACCTACAGAACCACACCTACAGAACCAGTCACTAGGTGTGGTACTGTAGGTGTGGTATACAACAACTTCACCGCGCTCTTTCCATCCCACCAACTGTTTGTTCCCTTGGACTGTCGGCGTGCAGAAGTGAAAACTCATTTCAATCTGCTGGGGACTTGCGTGCTATTAAATGTATAATATGCGACATGTTCGTTGTCTCAGGGAACGGTCCGATGGATACCTTCATTTGTGAAAAAATTTATTTAACTTGATGCAGCTAAAGAAAGGATTATTACAATTCATGAATACTTTTTTTTTTTGACCAAGTGCCTTGAACTGAATAAGGATTCTGAGACTATCGGCATCTTTAAATGGTTCCTATCAAAACATCCAAGAGGATTCTAATGGGACCTTCCTGGACTATGATCAATTTCTGCCACTGCACCCCTCTACTACAGTGAGGGAAAAAAGTATTTGATCCCCTGCTGATTTTGTACGTTTGCCCACTGACAAAGACATGATCAGTCTATAATTTTAATGGTAGGTTTATTTGAACAGTGAGAGACAGAATAACAACAACAAAATCCAGAAAAACGCATGTCAAAAATGTTATAAATTGATTTGCATTTTAATGAGGGAAATAAGTATTTGACCCCCTCTCAATCAGAAAGATTTCTGGCTCCCAGGTGCCTTTTATACAGGTAACGAGCTGAGATTAGGAGCACACGACATGCCAAAAAGAAACGCTGACACTACACATCCAAGTATATCTACCAAATTATGAAAGACAAGCATTGTAATTTTGAATTCAGTAAAGTAAGTGTGGAAGAGGTGAACAAAAATATTGTTGTCTATCAACAATGACAAGCCATTGGGGTCTGACAACTTGGATGGAAAATTACTGAGGATAATAGCGGACGATATTGCCACTCCTATTTTCCATATTTTCAATCTAAGCCTACTAGAAAGTGTGTGCCCTCAGGCCTGGAGGGAAGCAAAAGTCATTCCGCTACCTAAGAATAGTAAAGCCCCCTTTACTGGCTCAAATAGCTGACCAACCAGCCTGTTACCAACCCTTAGTAAACTTTTGGAGAAAAAAAATGTTTGACCAGATATCATTATATCTTACAGTAAACAAATTGACAGACTTTCAGCATGTTTATAGATAAGGACATTCAACAAGCACAGTACTTACACAAATGACTGATGATTGGCTGAGAGAAATCGATGATAAAAATATTGTGGGGGCTGTTTTGTTAGACTTCAGCGCTGCTTTTGACATTATCAATCATAGTCTGCTGCTGGAAAAACTTGTGTTATGGCTTTACACCACCTGCTATATTGTGGATAAAGAGTTAGACAGGTAACAGAACACAGAGGGTGTTCTTTAATGGAAGCCTCTCCATCATAATCCAGGTAGAATCAGGAATTCCCCAGGGCAGCTGTCTAGGACCCTTACATTTTCAATCTTTACTAACGACATGCCACTTGCTTTACCTATGTATGCGGATGACTCAACACGTCAGCTACCACAGCGACTGAAATGACAGCAACACTTAAAGAGCTGCAGTTAGTTTCAGAATGGGTGGCAAGGAATAAATTAGTCCTAAATATTTCAAAAACTAAAAGCATTTTATTTGGGACAAATCATTCACTAAACCCTAAACCTCAACTAAATCTTATGAATATTGTGGAAATTGAGAAAGGTGACTAAACTGCTTGGAGTAACCCTGGATTGTAAACTCATGGTCAAAACATATTGATACAAAAGTAGCTAAGATGGGGAGAAGTCCATAATAAAGCGCTGCTCTACCTTCTTAACAACACTATCAACAAGGCAGGTCCTACAGGCCCTAGTTTTGTCACACCTGGACTACTGTTCAGTCATGTGGTCAGGTGCCACAAAGAGGGACTTAGGAAAATTGCAGTTGGCTCAGAACAGGGCAGCACGGCTGGCCCTTGGATGTACACAGAGAGCTAACATTAATAATATGCATGTCAATCTCTCCTGGCTCAAAGTGGAGGAGAGGTTGACTTCATCACTACTTGTATTTGTGAGAGGTATTGACATGTTGAATGAACCGAGCTGTCTGTTTGAACTACTGGCACACAGCTCAGATCACCCATGCATACCCCACAAGACATGCCACCAGAGGTCTCTTCACAGTCCCCAAGTCCAGAACAGACTATGGGAGGTGCACAGTACTACATAGAGCCATGACTACATGGAACTCTATTCCACATCAGGAAACTGATGCAAGCAGTAGAATCAGATTTGAAAAAACAGATAAAAATACACCTTATGGAACAGTGGGGGACTGTGAAGCAACACAAACTTAGACACATGCATACAAACACACGATAACATCCACACTATACACATGGATTTTGTGTTATAGATATGTGGTAGTAGAGTAGGGGTCTGAGGGCACACACAATATATTGTGAAATCTGAATGAATGTATTGTAATGTTTTTACAAATGTACAGTACCAGTCAAAAGTTTGGACACACCTACACATTCAAGGTTTTTTCTTTATTTTTACTATTTTCTACATTGTAGAATAATAGTGGACATCAAAACTATGAAATAACACATATGGAATCATAAGTGTTAAACAAATTGAGATTCTTCAAAGTAGCCACCCTTTGCCTTGATGACAGCTTTGCACACTCTTGGCATTCTCTCAGCCAGCTTCACCTGGAATGCTTTTCAACAGTCTTGAAGGAGTTTCCACATTTGCTGAGCACTTGTTGGCTGCTTTTCCTTCACTCTGCCGTCCGACTCATCCCAAACCATCTCAATTGGGTTGAGGTCGGGGGATTGTGGAGGTCAGGTCATCTGATGCAGCCTCCATCACTCTCCTTCTAGTTAAAATAGCCCTTACACAGCCATATTTATACAACTACATCTATACAACCACCAACACCATCATATTTATATAACTACATCTACACCACCACCATATTTATATTTAAAAAAACAAGCCATGAGGTCGAAGGAATTGTCCGTAGAGCTCCGGGACAGGATTGTGTCGAGGCACAGATCTGGGGAAGGGTACCAAAAGGTTTCAACAACATTGAAGGTCCCCAAGAACACAGTGGCCTCCATCACTCTTAAATGGAAGAAGATTGGAACCACCAAGACTCTTCCTAGAGCTGGCCGCCCGGCAAAACTGAGCAATCGGGGGAGAAGTTCGTTGGTCAGGGAGGTGACCAAGAACCTGATGGTCACTCTGACAGAGCTCCAGAGTTCCTCCGTGGAGATGGGAGAACCTTCCAGAAGGACAACCATCTCTGCAGCACTCCACCAATCAGGCCTTTATGGTACAGTGGCCAGACGGAAGCCACTCCTCAGTAAAAGGCACATTACAGCCCGCTTGGAGTTTGCCAAAAGGCACCTAAAGACTCAGACCATGAGAAACAAGATTCTCTGGTCTGATGAAACCAAGATTGAACTCTTTGGCCTGAATGCCAAGCGTCACACCTGGGGGAAACCTGGCACCATCCACACGGTGAAGCATGGTGGTGGCAGCATCATGCTTTGGGGGATGTTTTTCAGCGGCAGGGACTGGGAGACTAGTCAGGATCGAGGCAAAGATGAACAGAGCAATGTACAGAGAGATCCTTGATGAAAACCTGCTCCAGAGCGCTCAAGACCTCAGACTGGGGCGAAGGTTCACCTTCCAACAGGACAACAACAATAAGCACACAGCCAAGACAACGCAGGAGTGGCTTCGGGACAAGTCTCTGAACGTCCTTGAGTGGCCCAGTCAGAGCCCGGACTTGAACCCAATCGAACATCTCTGGAGAGACCTGAAAATAGAAACTCCCCAAATACAGGTGTGCCAAGCTTGTAGCATCATACCCAAGAAGACTTGAGGCTGTAATCTCTGTCAAAGTGCTTCAACAAAGTACTGAGTAAAGGGTCTGAATACTTCTGTAAATGTGGGGGGTTAAAAAATAAAATAAAAATTGCTAACATTTCTACAATCCTGTTTTTGCTTTGTCATTATGGGGTACTGTGTGTAGATTGATGAGGGAAAAGACGATTTAATCCATTTTAGAATAAGGCTGAAACGGAACAAAATGTGGAAAAATGGGTCTGAATACTTTCCGAATGTACTGTATATCAAACACTTCATTAGACCTACTTGTTTCTGTGAAGTTGACAGTTTGGTCCACTCCTCCCGCAGCATCTTCATCTTGCCCTGAGGGCAAACAGGTGACAGCAGCATTATAACAGGTGACAGCAGCATTATAAACAGGTGACAGCGTTATAGCAGCATTATAATAGGTGACAGCAGCATTATAACAGGCGACAGCAGCATTATAACAGGTGACAGCAGCATTATAACAGGTGACAGCAGCATTATAACAGGTGACAGCAGCATTATAACAGGTGACAGTGTTATAGCAGCATTATAACAGGTGACAGCAGCATTATAACAGGTGACAGCAGCATTATAACACGGTGACAGCGTTATAGCAGCATTATAACAGGTGACAGCACATAACAGGTGACAGCAGCATTATAACAGGTGACAGCGTTATAGCAGCATTATAACAGGTGACAGCAGCATTATAACAGGTGACAGCGTTATAGCAGCATTATAACAGGTGACAGCAGCATTATAACAGGTGAAAGCGTTATAGCAGCATTATAACAGGTGACAGCAGCATTATAACAGGTGACAGCATTATAGCAGCATTATAACAGGTGACAGCAGCATTATAACAGGTGACAGCGTTATAGCAGCATTATAACAGGTGACAGCAGCATTATAACAGGTGACAGCGTTATAGCAGCATTATAACAAGTGACAGCGTTATAGCAGCATTATAACAGGTGACAGCAGCATTATAACAGGTGACAGCATTATAGCAGCATTATAACAGGTGACAGCAGCATTATAACAGGTGACAGCGTTATAGCAGCATTATAACAGGTAGCACCAGTCAGCAGCATTATAACAGGTGACAGCGTTATAGCAGCATTATAACAGGTGACAGCAGCATTACAACAGGTGACAGCGTTATAGCAGCATTATAACAGGTGACAGCAGCAGCATTATAACAGGTGACAGCAGCATTATAACAGGTGACGGCAGCATTATAACAGGTGACAGCAGCATTATAACAGGTGACAGCAGCATTATAACAGGTGACAGCGTTATAGCAGCATTATAACAGGTGACAGCAGCATTATAACAGGTGACAGTGTTATAGCAGCATTATAACAGGTGACAGCGTTATAGCAGCATTATAACAGGTGACAGCAGCATTATAACAGGTGACAGCGTTATAGCAGCATTATAACAGGTGACAGCAGCATTATAACAGGTGACAGCAGCATTATAACAGGTGACAGCGTTATAGCAGCATTATAACAGGTGACAGCGTTATACAATTACATTTCCATTACATTATACCAGCATTAAAGAGATGGTTAATATGTAATATGTTAAAGAACATTATATTTCCATTCCATTGCCTCGGAACCCATGAACAAGTATTTGATAACTCAACACTGATACTAACCTGCATGGTAACCAGTCCTCAATACTAACCTGCATGGTAACCATTACTCAATACTAACCTGCATGGTAACCATTCCCCAATACTAACCTGCATGGTAACCATTCCTCAATACTAACCTGCATGGTAACCATTCCTCAATACTAACCTGCATGGTAACCATTCCTCAATACTAACCTGCATGGTAACCATTCCTCAATACTAACCTGCATGGTAACCATTCCCCAATACTAACCTGCATGGTAACCATTCCTCAATACTAACCTGCATGGTAACCAGTCCCCAATACTAACCTGCATGGTAACCATTCCTAAATACTAACCTGCATGGTAACCAGTCCTCAATACTAACCTGCATGGTAACCAGTCCTCAATACTAACCTGCATGGTAACCAGTCCTCAATACTAACCTGCATGGTAACCATTCCTCAATACTAACCTGCATGGTAACCAGTCCTCAATACTAACCTGCATGGTAACCATTCCTCAATACTAACCTGCATGGTAACCATTCCTCAATACTAACCTGCATGGTAACCAGTCCTCAATACTAACCTGCATGGTAACCATTCCTCAATACTAACCTGCATGGTAACCAGTCCCCAATACTAACCTGCATGGTAACCAGTCCCCAATACTAACCTGCATGGTAACCATTCCTCAATACTAACCTGCATGGTAACCATTCCTCAATACTAACCTGCATGGTAACCATTCCTCAATACTAACCTGCATGGTAACCAGTCCCCAATACTAACCTGCATGGTAACCATTCCTCAATACTAACCTTCATGGTAACCATTCCCCAATACTAACCTGCATGGTACCATTCCCAAATACTAACCTGCATGGTAACCATTCCCCAATACTAACCTGCATGGTAACCATTCCCCAATACTAACCTGCATGGTAACCATTCCTCAATACTAACCTGCATGGTAACCATTCCCCAATACTAACCTGCATGGTAACCATTCCCCAATACTAACCTGCATGGTAACCAGTCCTCAATACTAACCTGCATGGTAACCATACCTCAATACTAACCTGCATGGTAACCATTCCCCAATACTAACCTGCATGGTAACCGGTCCTCAATACTAACCTGCATGGTAACCATTCCTCAATACTAACCTGCATGGTAACCATTCCTCAATACTAACCTGCATGGTAACCATTCCCCAATACTAACCTGCATGGTAACCATTCCTCAATACTAACCTGCATGGTAACCATTCCCCAATACTAACCTGCATGGTAACCATTCCCCAATACTAACCTGCATGGTAACCATTCCTCAATACTAACCTGCATGGTAACCAGTCCTCAATACTAACCTGCATGGTAACCAGTCCCCAATACTAACCTGCATGGTAACCATTCCTCAATACTAGCCTGCATGGTAACCAGTCCTCAATACTAACCTGCATGGTAACCATTCCCCAATACTAACCTGCATGGTAACCGTTCCTCAATACTAACCTGCATGGTAACCAGTCCCCAATACTAACCTGCATGGTAACCATTCCTCAATACTAACCTGCATGGTAACCAGTCCTCAATACTAACCTGCATGGTAACCAGTCCTCAATACTAACCTGCATGGTAACCAGTCCTCAATACTAACCTGCATGGTAACCATTCCTCAATACTAACCTTTATGGTAACCAGTCCTCAATACTAACCTGCATGGTAACCATTCCCCAATACTAACCTGCATGGTAACCATTCCTCAATACTAACCTGCATGGTAACCATTCCTCAATACTAACCTGCATGGTAACCAGTCCTCAATACTAACCTGCATGGTAACCATTCCTCAATACTAACCTGCATGGTAACCAGTCCCCAATACTAACCTGCATGGTAACCAGTCCCCAATACTAACCTGCATGGTAACCATTCCTCAATACTAACCTGCATGGTAACCAGTCCTCAATACTAACCTGCATGGTAACCATTCCTCAATACTAACCTGCATGGTAACCAGTCTTCAATACTAACCTGCATGGTAACCATTCCCCAATACTAACCTGCATGGTAACCAGTCCTCAATACTAACCTGCATGGTAACCATTCCTCAATACTAACCTGCATGGTAACCAGTCCTCAATACTAACCTGCATGGTAACCAGTCCTCAATACTAACCTGCATGGTAACCATTCCTCAATACTAACCTGCATGGTAACCAGTCCTCAATACTAACCTGCATGGTAACCATTCCTCAATACTAACCTGCATGGTAACCATTCCCCAATACTAACCTGCATGGTAACCATTCCCCAATACTAACCTGCATGGTAACCAGTCCTCAATACTAACCTGCATGGTAACCATTCCCCAATACTAACCTGCATGGTAACCATTCCCCAATACTAACCTGCATGGTAACCATTCCCCAATACTAACTTGCATGGTAACCAGTCCTCAATACTAACCTGCATGGTAACCATTCCCCAATACTAACCTGCATGGTAACCAGTCCTCAATACTAACCTGCATGGTAACCAGTCCCCAATACTAACCTGCATGGTAACCATTCCTCAATACTAGCCTGCATGGTAACCAGTCCTCAATACTAACCTGCAAGCTGCATACTGGATCCTATTCCTACTAAACTGCTGAAGGAGCTGCTTCCTGTGCTTGGCCCTCCTATGTTGAACATAATAAACAGCTCTCTATCCACCGGATGTGTACCAAACTCACTAAAAGTGGCAGTGATAAAGCCTCTCTTGAAAAAGCCAAACCTTGACCCGGAAAATATAAAAAACTATCGGCCTATATCGAATCTTCCATTCCTCTCAAAAATTTTAGAAAAAGCTGTTGCGCAGCAACTCACTGCCTTTCTGAAGACAAACAATGTATACGAAATGCTTCAGTCTGGTTTTAGACCCCATCATAGCACTGAGACTGCACTTGTGAAGGTGGTAAATGACCTTTTAATGGCATCAGACCGAGGCTCTGCATCTGTCCTCGTGCTACTAGACCTTAGTGCTGCCTTTGACACCATCGATCACCACATTCTTTTGGAGAGACTGGAAACCCAAATTGGTCTACACGGACAAGTTCTGGCCTGGTTTAGATCCTACCTGTCGGAAAGATATCAGTTTGTCTCTGTGAATGGTCTGTCCTCCGACAAATCAACTGTACATTTCGGTGTTCCTCAAGGTTCCGTTTTAGGACCACTATTGTTTTCACTATATATTTTACCTCTTGGGGATGTTATTCGAAAACATAATGTTAACTTTCACTGCTATGCGGATGACACACAGCTGTACATTTCAATGAAGCATGGTGAAGCCCCAAAATTGCCCTCGCTAGAAGCCTGTGTTTCAGACATAAGAAAGTGGATGGCTGAAAACTTTTTACTTTTAAACTCGGACAAAACAGAGATGCTTGTTCTAGGTCCCAAGAAACAAAGAGATCTTCTGTTAAATCTGACAATTCATCTTGATGGTTGTAAAGTCGTCTCAAATAAAACTGTGAAGGACCTAGGCGTTACTCTTGACCCTGATCTCTCTTTTGACGAACATATCAAGACTGTTTCAAGGACAGCTTTTTTCCATCTACGTAACATTGCAAAAATCAGAAATTTTCTGTCCAAAAATGATGCAGAAAAATTAATCCATGCATTTGTTACTTCTAGGTTAGACTACTGCAATGCTCTATTTTCCGGCTACCCGGATAAAGCACTAAATAAACTTCAGTTAGTGCTAAATACGGCTGCTAGAATCCTGACTAGAACCAAGAAATTTAATCATATTACTCCAGTGCTAGCTTCCCTACACTGGCTTCCTGTTAAGGCAAGGGCTGATTTCAAGGTTTTACTGTTAACCTATAAAGCGTTACATGGGCTTGCTCCTACCTATCTTTCCGAGTTGGTCCTGCCGTACATACCAATACGTACGCTACGGTCACAAGACGCAGGCCTCCTAATTGTCCCTAGAATTTCTAAGCAAACAGCGGGAGGCAGGGCTTTCTCCTATAGATCTCCATTTTTATGGAACAGTCTGCCTACCCATGTGAGAGACGCAGACTCAGTCTCAACCTTTAAGTCTTTACTGAAGACTTATCTCTTCAGTAGGTCATATGATTGAGTGTAGTCTGGCCCAGGAGTGTGAAGGTGAACGGAAAGGCTGGAGCAACGAACAGCCCTTGCTGTCTCTGCCAGGCCGGTTCCCCTCTCCACTGGGGTTCTCTGCCTCTAACCCTGTTGCAGGGGCTGAGTCACTGGCTTGCTGGTGCTCTTTCATGCCGTCCCTGGGAGGGGTGCGTCACTTGAGTGGGTTGAGTTACTGACGTGATCTTCCTGTCTGGGTTGGCGCCCCCCCCTTGGTTTGTGCTGTGGTGGAGACCTCTGTGGGCTATACTCGGCCTTGTCTCAGGATTGTAAGTTGGTGGTTGGGGATATCCCTCTAGTGGTGCGGGGGCTGTGCTTTGGCGGAGTGGGTGGGGTTATATCCTTCCTGTTTGGCCCTGTCCGGGGGTTTCTTCGGATGGGGCCACAGTGTCTCCGGACCGCTCCTGTCTCAGCCTCCAGTATTTATGCTGCAGTAGTTTATGTGTCGGGGGGCTGGGGTTAGTTGGTTATACCTGGAGTACTTCTCCTGTCTTATCCAGTGTCCTGTGTGAATTTAAGTATGCTCTCTCTAATTCTCTCGTTCTCTCTTTCTCTCTGAGAACCTGAGCCCTAGGACCATACGTCAGGACTACCGGGCATGATGACACCTTGCTGTCCCCAGTCCGCCTGGCCTTGCTGCTATTCCAGTTTCAACTGTTCTGCCTGCGGCTACGAAACCCCTACCTGTCCCAGACCTGCTGTTTTCAACTCTTAATGATCGGCTATGAAAAGCCAACTGAGAGACCTGAGCCCTAGGACCATACGTCGGGACTACCGGCCGTGGTGACTCCTTGCTGTCCCCAGTCCGCCTGGCCTTGCTGCTATTCCAGTTTAAACTGTTCTGCCTGCGGTTATGGAACCCCTACCTGTCCCAGACCTGCTGTTTTCAAACTCTTAATGATCGGCTATGAAAAGCCAACTGAGATTTATTCCTGATTATTATTTGACCATGCTTGTCACTTATGAACATTTTTGAACATCTTGGCATGGTTCTGTTATAATCTCCACCCGGCACAGCCAGAAGAGGACTGGCCACCCCTCATAGCCTGGTTCCTCTCTAGGTTTCTTCCTAGGTTTTCGCCTTTCTAGGGAGTTTTTCCTAGCCACCGTGCTTCTACACCTGCATTACTAGCTGTTTGGGGTTTTAGGCTGGGTTTCTGTACAGCACTTCGAGATATTAGCTGATGTAAGAAGGGCTATATAAAATAAAATTGATTGATTGATTGATGGTAACCATTCCCCAATACTAACCTGCATGGTAACCATTCCTCAATACTAACCTGCATGGTAACCAGTCCTCAATACTAACCTGCATGGTAACCATTCCTCAATACTAACCTGCATGGTAACCAGTCTTTCAATACTAACACTGCATGGTACCATTCCCCAATACTACCTGCATGTTAACCAGGCCTCAATACTAACCTGCATGGTAAACCATTCCTCAATACTAACCTGCATGGGTAACCAGTCCTCAATACTAAACCTGCATGGAAACCAGTCCTCAATACTACCTGCATGGTAAACCATTCCTCATACGAACCGGCATGGTAAACCAGTCCCCATACTAACCGGCATGGTAAACCATTCCCAATACTAAACCTTGCATGGTAACCATTCCCCAATACTAACCTGCATGGTAACCATTCCCCAATACTAACCTGCATGGTAACCAGTTCCTCATACTAACCTGCATGGTAACCATTCCCAATACTAACCTGCATGGTAACCATTCCCCAATACTAACCTGCATGGTAACCATTCCCAATACTAACCTGCATGGTAACCAGTCCTCAATACTAACCTGCATGGTAACCATTCCCCAATACTAACCTGCATGGTAACCATTCCTCAATACTAACCTGCATGGTAACCAGTCCTCAATACTAACCTGCATGGTAACCATTCCCCAATACTAACCTGCATGGTAACCATTCCTCAATACTAACCTGCATGGTAACCATTCCCAATACTAACCTGCATGGTAACCATTCCCAATACTAACCTGCATGGTAACCATTCCCAATACTAACCTGCATGGTAACCATTCCCCAATACTAACCTGCATGGTAACCATCCTCAATACTAACCTGCATGGTAACCATCTCCTCAATACTAACCTGCATGGTAACCATTCCCCAATACTAACCTGCATGGTAACCATTCCTCAATACTAACCTGCATGGTAACCATTCCCCAATACTAACCTGCATGGTAACCATTCCTCAATACTAACCTGCATGGTAACCAGTCCTCAATACTAACCTGCATGGTAACCATTCCTCAATACTAACCTGCATGGTAACCATTCCCAATACTAACCTGCATGGTAACCATTCCTCAATACTAACCTGCATGGTAACCATTCCCAATACTAACCTGCATGGTAACCATTCCCAATACTAACCTGCATGGTAACCATTCCTCAATACTAACCTGCATGGTAACCATCCTCAATACTAACCTGCATGGTAACCAGTCCCAATACTAACCTGCATGGTAACCATTCCCAATACTAACCTGCATGGTAACCAGTCCTCAATACTAACCTGCATGGTAACCATTCCCAATACTAACCTGCATGGTAACCATTCCCCAATACTAACCTGCATGGTAACCATTCCTCAATACTAACCTGCATGGTAACCATTCCCCAATACTAACCTGCATGGTAACCATTCCCAATACTAACCTGCATTGTAACCAGTCCCCAAAACTAACCTGCATGGTAACCATTCATCAATATAACCTGCATGGTAACCAGTCCCAATACTAACCTTCCTGGTAACCATTCCCCAATAATAACCTTGCATGGTAACCAGTCCCCAATACTAACCTGCATGGTTAACCATTCCGCAATAATAACCTGCATGGTAACCAGTCCCCAATACGAACCTGCATGGTAACCATTCCCCAATATAACCTGCATGGTAACCATTCCCCAATACTAACCTGCATGGTAACCAGTCCTCAATAATAACCTTGCATGGTAACCAGTCCCCAATACTAACCTGCATGGTAAACCATGTCCTCAATAATAACCTGCATGGTAACGCAGTTCCCCAATACTAACCTGCATGGTAACACCAGTCCTCAATAATAACCTGCATGGTAACCATCCCCAATACTAACCTGCATGGTAACCATTCCTCAATACTAACCTGCATGGTAACCATTCCCCAATACTAACCTGCATGGTAACCATTCCTCAATAATAACCTGCATGGTAACCAGTCCCAATACAACCTGCATGGTAACCATTCCCAATACTAACCTGCATGGTAACCATTCCCCAATACTAACCTGCATGGTAACCATTCCTCAATACTAACCTGCATGGTAACCAGTCCTCAATACTAACCTGCATGGTAACCATTCCCAATACTAACCTGCATGGTAACCATTCCCCAATACTAACCTGCATGGTAACCATTCCTCAATACTAACCTGCATGGTAACCATCCCAATACTAACCTGCATGGTAACCATTCCTCAATACTAACCTGCATGGTAACCATCCTCAATACTAACCTGCATGGTAACCATTCCCCAATACTAACCTGCATGGTAACCAGTCCTCAATACTAACCTGCATGGTAACCATTCCCAATCTAACCCTAACCTGCATGGTAACCATTCCTCAATACTAACCTGCATGGTAACCATTCCCCAATACTAACCTGCATGGTAACCATTCCTCAATACTAACCTGCATGGTAACCAGTCCCCAATACTAACCTGCATGGTAACCATCCTCAATACTAACCTGCATGGTAACCATCCCCAATACTAACCTGCATGGTAACCATTCCTCAATACTAACCTGCATGGTAACCATTCCCAATACTAACCTGCATGGTAACATTCCCAATACTAACTGCATGGTAACCATTCCCCAATACTAACCTGCATGGTAACCATTCCCCAATACTAACCTGCATGGTAACCATTCCCCAATACTAACCTGCATGGTAACCAGTCCCCAATACTAACCTGCATGGTAACCATTCCCCAATACTAACCTGCATGGTAACCAGTCCCCAATACTAACCTGCATGGTAACCAGTCCTCAATACTAACCTGCATGGTAACCATTCCCAATACTAACCTGCATGGTAACCATTCCCCAATACTAACCTGCATGGTAACCATTCCCCAATACTAACCTGCATGGTAACCATTCCCCAATACTAACCTGCATGGTAACCATTCCCCAATACTAACCTGCATGGTAACCATTCCCAATACTAACCTGCATGGTAACCATTCCCCAATACTAACCTGCATGGTAACCATTCCCCAATACTAACCTGCATGGTAACCATTCCCCAATACTAACCTGCATGGTAACCATTCCCAATACTACCTGCATGGTAACCATCCCCATACTAACCTGCATGGTAACCAGTCCCCAATACTAACCTGCATGGTAACCATTCCTCAATACTAACCTGCATGGTAACCAGTCCTCAATACTAACCTGCATGGTAACCAGTCCCCAATACTAACCTGCATGGTAACCATTCCCCAATACTAACCTGCATGGTAACCATTCCCCAATACTAACCTGCATGGTAACCATTCCCCAATACTACCCTGCATGGTAACCATTTCCTCAATACTAACCTGCATGGTAACCAATCCCAATACTACCCATGTACCATTCCTACTAACCTGCATGGTAACCATTCCCAATACTAACCTGCATGGTAACCATTCCCCAATACTAACCTGCATGGTAACCATCCCCAATACTAACCTGCATGGTAACCATTCCCAATACTAACCTGCATGGTAACCATCCCAATACTAACCTGCATGGTAACCATTCCTCAATACTAACCTGCATGGTAACCATTCCCAATACTAACCTGCATGGTAACCATCCCCAATACTAACCTGCATGGTAACCATTCCCCAATACTAACCTGCATGGTAACCATTCCCAATACTAACTGCATGGTAACCATCCCCAATACTAACCTGCATGGTAACCATTCCCCAATACTAACCTGCATGGTAACCATTCCCCAATACTAACCTGCATGGTAACCAGTCCCCAATACTAACCTGCATGGTAACCATTCCCCAATACTAACCTGCATGGTAACCAGTCCCTAATACTAACCTGCATGGTAACCATTCCCAATACTACCTGCATGGTAACCAACCTGAATGGTAACCCCCCAATACTAACCTGCATGGTAACCATCCTTAATACTAACCTGCATGGTAACCAGTCCCCAATACTAACCTGCATGGTAACCAGTCCCCAATACTAACCTGCATGGTAATCCCTCTGGACTCCTCATAGTGTTCTGCCATGTAGATGTTAAAGGACGACCGGGGCCGTTTGGGTTTGCCCAGACTGTTCAACTCCTAAAAGTGAAGTGGAAGTAGAAGTCAGGTGGTTCAGGGCACATCATCAGACACACCCTACTTACAGGCCTTAAGTAAGCCTTCCATTCACTAGGAGGGCTGTCACGACCATCATTCAGTGGCACATCATCAGAACACACCACTACTATCACAAGGCCTTAGTAGTAAGCCATTCCATTCACTAGGAGGGGCCTGTCACGGCCCACAGCACATCATCAGAACACACCACTACTATCACAAGGCCTTAGTAGTAAGCCATTCCATTCACTAGGAGGGGCCTGTCACGGCCCACAGCACATCATCAGAACACACCACTACTATCACAAGGCCTTAGTAGTAAGCCATTCCATTCACTAGGAGGGGCCTGTCACGGCCCACAGCACATCATCAGAACACACCACTACTATCACAAGGCCTTAGTAGTAAGCCATTCCATTCACTAGGAGGGGCCTGTCACGGCCCACAGCACATCATCAGAACACACCACTACTATCACAAGGCCTTAGTAGTAAGCCATTCCATTCACTAGGAGGGGCCCGTCACGGCCCACAGCACATCATCAGAACACACCACTACTATCACAAGGCCTTAGTAGTAAGCCATTCCATTCACTAGGAGGGGCCTGTCACGGCCCACAGCACATCATCAGAACACACCACTACTATCACAAGGCCTTAGTAGTAAGCCATTCCATTCACTAGGAGGGGCCTGTCACGGCCCACAGCACATCATCAGAACACACCACTACTATCACAAGGCCTTAGTAGTAAGCCATTCCATTCACTAGGAGGGGCCTGTCACGGCCCACAGCACATCATCAGAACACACCACTACTATCACAAGGCCTTAGTAGTAAGCCATTCCATTCACTAGGAGGGGCCTGTCACGGCCCACAGCACATCATCAGAACACACCACTACTATCACAAGGCCTTAGTAGTAAGCCATTCCATTCACTAGGAGGGGCCTGTCACGGCCCACAGCACATCATCAGAACACACCACTACTATCACAAGGCCTTAGTAGTAAGCCATTCCATTCACTAGGAGGGGCCTGTCACGGCCCACAGCACATCATCAGAACACACCACTACTATCACAAGGCCTTAGTAGTAAGCCATTCCATTCACTAGGAGGGGCCTGTCACGGCCCACAGCACATCATCAGAACACACCACTACTATCACAAGGCCTTAGTAGTAAGCCATTCCATTCACTAGGAGGGGCCTGTCACGGCCCACAGCACATCATCAGAACACACCACTACTATCACAAGGCCTTAGTAGTAAGCCATTCCATTCACTAGGAGGGGCCTGTCACGGCCCACAGCACATCATCAGAACACACCACTACTATCACAAGGCCTTAGTAGTAAGCCATTCCAGTCACTAGGACAGCACATCACTACACTCACCCTCTTCCTTCTGATGGCTTTCCTCTTGGCCAGCCTCCGTCTCCTCTCCTCTTTCAGAGCAGCAGCCTGAGCCGGGCTGAGTTGGGACTGGTACCTCTGCAGGTCCACTTTAAACTGTTCCCTGGCAACCACTGACGCCTGTTGAAAAGGCTGTGGGGGAAAGTCAACATGTATTTAGCTAATTGACCACACAGGTCTGTCCACAGTACAACAATATTGATATGTCTTTTCAGGTAAGCTATAAGTCAGACATATAGCCTATTTTCTGTTATTTAAATACGCTGCCATGTAGATCCATGTTGGTAGGAAGTAGACTGATGACAGTCTGTGTAGTCTAGATCCATGTTGGTAGGAAGTAGACTGATGACAGTCGGTGTAGTCTAGATCCATGTTGGTAGGAAGTAGACTGATGACAGTCTGTAGTCTAGATCCATGTTGGTAGGAAGTAGACTGATGACAGTCTGTGTAGTCTAGATCCATGTTGGTAGGAAGTAGACTGATGACAGTCGGTGTAGTCTAGATCCATGTTGGTAGGAAGTAGACTGATGACAGTCTGTGTAGTCTAGATCCATGTTGGTAGGAAGTAGACTGATGACAGTCGGTGTAGTCTAGATCCATGTTGGTAGGAAGTAGACTGATGACAGTCGGTGTAGTCTAGATCCATGTTGGTAGGAAGTAGACTGATGACAGTCTGTGTAGTCTAGATCCATGTTGGTAGGAAGTAGACTCATGACAGTCTGTGTAGTCTAGATCCATGTTGGTAGGAAGTAGACTGATGACAGTCTGTGTAGTCTAGATCCATGTTGGTAGGAAGTAGACTGATGACAGTCTGTAGTCTAGATCCATGTTGGTAGGAAGTAGACTGATGACAGTCTGTGTAGTCTTACTTCTCCATGAAAGGTGCAAACATGGACTACAGAAGTGTCAAATGTATTCTCCGTCACCCAAGGAGACAGAAGATATCTGGGTGCCTTGCTGTCCAAGGTGTTAGGGTCTGGGTGCCTTGCTGTCCAAGGTGTTAGGGTGCCTTGCTGTCCAAGGTGTTAGGGTCTGGGCGCCTTGCTGTCCAAGGTGTTAGGGTCTGGTTGCCTTGCTGTCCAAGGTGTTAGGGTCTGGTTGCCTTGCTGTCCAAGGTGTTAGGGTCTGGGTGCCTTGCTGTCCAAGGTGTTAGGGTCTGGGTGCCTTGCTGTCCAAGGTGTTAGGGTCTGGGTGCCTTGCTGTCCAAGGTGTTAGGGTCTGGGTGCCTTGCTGTCCAAGGTGTTAGGGTCTGGGTGCCTTGCTGTCCAAGGTGTTAGGGTCTGGGTGCCTTGCTGTCCAAGGTGTTAGGGTCTGGTTGCCTTGCTGTCCAAGGTGTTAGGGTCTGGGTGCCTTGCTGTCCAAGGTGTTAGGGTCTGGGTGCCTTGCTGTCCAAGGTGTTAGGGTCTGGGTGCCTTGCTGTCCAAGGTGTTAGGGTCTGGGTGCCTTGCTGTCCAAGGTGTTAGGGTCTGGGTGCCTTGCTGTCCAAGGTGTTAGGGTCTGGGTGCCTTGCTGTCCAAGGTGTTAGGGTCTGGGTGCCTTGCTGTCCAAGGTGTTAGGGTCTGGGTGCCTTGCTGTCCAAGGTGTTAGGGTCTGGGTGCCTTGCTGTCCAAGGTGTTAGGGTCTGGGTGCCTTGCTGTCCAAGGTGTTAGGGTCTGGGTGCCTTGCTGTCCAAGGTGTTAGGGTCTGGGTGCCTTGCTGTCCAAGGTGTTAGGGTCTGGGTGCCTTGCTGTCCAAGGTGTTAGGGTCTGGGTGCCTTGCTGTCCAAGGTGTTAGGGTCTGGGTGCCTTGCTGTCCAAGGTGTTAGGGTCTGGGTGCCTTGCTGTCCAAGGTGTTAGGGTCTGGGTGCCTTGCTGTCCAAGGTGTTAGGGTCTGGGTGCCTTGCTGTCCAAGGTGGCCTTACTGAATCTCTAATGAATCTAGACGCAACCTACCTGTTTCTGGTCTGCTGTCAGAGTTCTCCACTGCTGTGCAATCTTCCTTATCACGTCCACAGCTTTCACATCTGAAACTCACATCAACATTAACTCAGTGATAAAGGAGTGTACAGTGAAACTGTAGAGATACAATACTGTACATTATATCACCAGTCACCTGGATACTGCCTGACAACGAGAGGTTGTTGCTGTTTCACAAATCTCATGTATCCGTTCAGGGGCCTCTTGGGGGGCGCACCTGCACTGGTGGTGAAGCTCTTTACAGCTGGGATCACACTGACGAACCTACAACACACCACAATACATTAGCCCTAACCCTACACCACATTAGCCCTAACCCTACACCACATTAGCCCTAACCCTACACCACAATACATTAGCCCTAACCCTACACCACGTTAGCCCTAACCCTACACCACGTTAGCCCTAACCCTACACCACGTTAGCCCTAACCCTAACCCTACACCACATTAGCCCTAACCCTACACCACATTAGCCCTAACCCTACACCACATTAGCCCTATCCCTACACCACGTTAGCCCTAACCCTACACCACGTTAGCCCTAACCCTACACCACGTTAGCCCTAACCCTACACCACGTTAGCCCTAACCCTACACCACATTAGCCCTAACCCTACACCACATTAGCCCTAACCCTACACCACGTTAGCCCTAACCCTACACCACGTTAGCCCTAACCCTACACCACGTTAGCCCTAACCCTAACCCTACACCACATTAGCCCTAACCCTACACCACGTTAGCCCTAACCCTACACCACATTAGCCCTAACCCTACACCACGTTAGCCCTAACCCTACACCACATTAGCCCTATCCCTACACCACATTAGCCCTATCCCTACACCACATTAGCCCTAACCCTACACCACATTAGCCCTAACCCTACACCACATTAGCCCTAACCCTACACCACATTAGCCCTAACCCTACACCACATTAGCCCTAACCCTACACCACATTAGCCCTAACCCTACACCACGTTAGCCCTAGTGGACAGTTTGATTTCACAGAAGTGTGATTGACTTGGAGTTACATTGTGTTGTTTAAGTGTTCCCTTTATTTTTTTGAGCAATATATATACAGTGGGGAGAACAAGTATTTGATACACTGCCGATTTTGCAGGTTTTCCTACTTACAAAGCATGTAGAGGTCTGTAATTTTTATCATAGGTACACTTCAACTGTGAGAGACGGAATCTAAAACAAAAATCCAGAAAATCACATTGTATGATTTTTAAGTAATTAATTTGCATTTTATTGCATGACATAAGTATTTGATACATCAGAAAAGCAGAACTTAATATTTGGTACAGAAACATTTGTTTGCAATTACAGAGATCATACGTTTCCTGTAGGTCTTGACCAGGTTTGCACACACTGCAGCAGGGATTTTGGCCCACTCCTCCATACAGACCTTCTCCAGATCCTTCAGGTTTCGGGGCTGTCGCTGGGCAATACGGACTTTCAGCTCCCTCCAAAGATTTTCTATTGGGTTCAGGTCTGGAGACTGGCTAGGCCACTCCAGGACCTTGAGATGCTTCTTGCGGAGCCACTCCTTAGCTGCCCTGGCTGTGTGTTTGGGGTCGTTGTCATGCTGGAAGACCCAGCCACGACCCATCTTCAATGCTCTTACTGAGGGAAGGAGGTTGTTGGCCAAGATCTTGCCATACATGGCCCCATCCATCCTCCCCTCAATACGGTGCAGTCGTCCTGTCACCTTTGCAGAAAAGCATCCCCAAAGAATGTTGTTTCCACCTCCATGCTTCACGGTTGGGATGGTGTTCTTGGGGTTGAACTCATCCTTCTTCTTCCTCCAAACATGGCGAGTGGAGTTTAGACCAAAAAGCTCTATTTTTGTCTCATCAGACCACATGACCTTCTCCCATTCCTCCTCTGGATCATCCAGATGGTCATTGGCAAACTTCAGATGGGCCTGGACATGCGCTGGCTTGAGCAGGGGGACCTTGCGTGCACTGCAGGATTTTAATCCATGACGGTGTAGTGTGTTACTAATGGTTTTCTTTGAGACTGTGGTCCCAGCTCTCTTCAGGTCATTGACCAGGTCCTGCCGTGTAGTTCTGGGCTGATCCCTCACCTTCCTCATGATCATTGATGCCCCACGAGGTGAGATCTTGCATGGAGCCCCAGACTGAGGGTGATTGACCGTCATCTTGAACTTCTTCCATTTTCTAATAATTGCGCCAACAGTCGTTGCCTTCTCACCAAGCTGCTTGCCTATTGTCCTGTAGCCCATCCCAGCCTTGTGCAGGTCTACAATTTTATCCCTGATGTCCTTACACAGCTCTCTGGTCTTGGACATTGTGGAGAGGTTGGAGTCTGTTTGATTGAGTTTGTGGACAGGTGTCTTTTATACAGGTAACGAGTTCAAACAGGTGCAGTTAATACAGGTAATGAGTGGAGAACAGGAGGGCTTCTTAAAGAAAAACTAACAGGTCTGTGAGAGCCGGAATTCTTACTGGTTGGTAGGTGATCAAATACTTATGTCATGCAATAAAATGCAAATGAATTACTTAAAAATCATATAATGTGATTTTCTGGATTTTTGTTTTAGATTCCGTCTCTCACAGTTGAAGTGTACCTATGATAAAAATGACAGACCTCTACATGCTTTGTAAGTAGGAAAACCTGCAAAATCGGCTGTGTATCAAATACTTGTTCTCCCCACTGTGTGTGTGTGTGTATATATATATATATATATACACACACACACACACACACACACACACACACACACACTACTGGTCAAACATTTTAGAACACCTACTCATTAAAGGGTTTTTCTTTATTTTTACTATTTTCTACACATATGGAATCATATAGTAACCAAAAAAGTGTTAAACAAATCAAAATATATTTTAAATACATCAAAGTAACCACCCTTTGCCTTGATGACAGCTTTGCACACTCTTGGCATTCTCTCAGCCAGCTTCACCTGGAATGCTTTTCCAACAGTCTTGAAGGAGTTCCCACATATGCTGAGCACTTGTTGGCTGCTTTTCCTTCACTCTGCGGTCCGACTCATCCCAAACCATCTCAATTGGGTTGAGGTCGGGGGATTGTGGAGGCCAGGTCATCTGATGCAGCACTCCATCACTCTGCTTCTCTGTAAAATAGCCCTTACACAGCCTGGAGGTGTGTTGGGTCATTGTCCTGTTGAAAAACAAATGATAGTCCCACTAAGCCCAAACCAGATGGGATGGCGTATCGCTGCAGAATGCTGTGGTAGCCATGCTGGTTAAGTGTGCCTTGAATTCTAAACAAATCACAGACAGTCAGCAAAGCACCCTCACACCATAACACCTCCTCCTCCATGCTTTATGGTGGGAAATACACATGCAGAGATCATCTGTTCACCCACAATGCGTCACAAAGACACGCCGATTGGAACCAAAAATCTCAAATTTGGAGTCCAGACCAAAGGACAAATTTCCACCGGTCTAATGTCCATTGCTTGTGTTTCTTGGCCCAAGTAGGTCTCTTCTTCTTATTGGTGTCCTTTATTAGTGGTTTCTTTGCAGCAATTCGACCATGAAGGACTGATTCACACAGTCTCCTCTGAACAGTTGATGTTGAGATGTGTCTGTTACTTGAACTCTGTGAAGCATTTATTTGGGCTGCAATTTCTGAGGCTGGTAACTCTACTGAACGTATCCTCTGCAGCAGAGGTAACTCTGGGTCTTCCTTTCCTGTGGCGGTCCTCATGAGAGCCAGTTTCATCATAGCGCTTGATGGTTTTTGCGATTGCACTTGAAGAAACTTTCAAAGTTCTTGAAATTTTCAGTTTTGACTGACCTTCATGTCTTAAAGTAATGATGGCCTGTCGTTTCTCTTTGCATATTTGAGCTGTTCTTGCCATAATATGCACTTGGTCGTTTACCAAATAGGGCTATCTTCTGTATACCCATTAAGGAGAAAATAAATTCCAGAAATTAACTTTTAAGAAGGCACACCTGTTAATTGAAATGCATTCCAGGTGACTACCTCATGAAACTGGTTGAGAGAATGCCAAGAGTGTGCAAAGCTGTCATCAAGGCAAGGGGTGGCTATTTGATTAACACTTTTGGTTACTACATGATTCCATATGTGTTATTTCATAGTTTTGATGTCTTCACTATTATTCTACAATGTAAAAAATTGTAAAGAAATAAATGAAAACCCTTGAATGAGAATGTGTCCAAACCTTTGACTGGTGCTGTATACATACTAACAACTGTGTCATGACTAATGGTGTCTATTGTTAGAAATAGCGTAATTCAAATCTGGTATTGGAATAAGAGAAAACATAATCAAGAGATATTCAATCCAAGCTACATTTATTATATGCAAAATGTATGTATGATAAGTATGATGGTTCGTATACGGGCTCACTGAAATACCACGCAGGGCAGATAGAGAACTGATCCATTGTTACAGGCTGTTCTTTAAATACCCTGACAGTGATAGTTCCCGCTCCCTGCTGGGCCTATCAGGGTAGAGACTGGGCGTGGTTCAGACTTACTCAGCCAATCCGTTGGCGCACAGGCTGGTCCCAGCACCTTGGCGCACCACTGTTGCCAGGTGTCTAGTTGTTTTGCAACTTATCCAGAAAGTCAGCACTTTTTGCAGTACACATCCTTGAGTATGATGGTTTAACAAAGAGGCAGTGTGTGTGTGTCTGTGAGAAATACAAGTCTTATCTCATCCTACCCCCTAACGTTCCTCACATGAATCACAGCTTGTTATGTGAAACAATTTATATCAGTACAGTACAAACCCTTTATGTTTAATCATTAATGCATTCTTTCTAAGCTAGTCATCACATCTACAACCCCACGCTATTAAGCAGCCCGATGGTCTGGGGGTAGAAGCTATTGGCCAGTTAGTAGTTAAATCATATATGAGACTCATTTCTATAATCATCCAATACTACATTCAGAAGTAAAACACGTCTTATCATTCCTAGCTAGTTTACCCAAATCTAACCAATGTGGTCAGTCAAGCTAACGTTAGATAACCCTAACCCTAGCTAGCTAATTTAGCTCTAATTATGCTAATCCTGGAGTGATAGCTGGAAATACAGCAATTCCTTTGCAGAATTGGCTTCATGAATTTCAAAAAATCTAAAATACCAATGAGAAATTGTACAGGGTGGCTTACTAACTGCCTACCTAACATAGCTAACTAACTATCTTGACAATAGGAAGTTTTGCTCCTTATGTTACCTTGCAAGACTGGAAGCGTTGGAGAAGAGACTGACTGACTTGGCCAAAAGGCTGGCACCAGCAGACAGGAGACCGAAGGGCGCCATGTCTGGTTGAATCAACTAGACGGTCAGAATATACTTCTGACAGAGACAACAACGTTACTGTCCCGGCTGACTGGCTCACTAGCTACTCGTTGTTTAACAGCTATCTAATTCAGTAACGTCCTTCTGCCCCTGCCATGCACGGATAACGCGCTTTCACCATCCAGCTGCATTGTGGGATAAGGTCATGGCAGTGTTTACGTAGTTTAACATTCACTGCAGCACATTCACCACAAATGGGAACGTCAACCAATTTAAAAGAAATGTCAACCATAAATAAGCAAGTGACTTTAGAATAACTCCAATAAATTGCCGTGTTCTTGGCCTAAGGGTTTCATTTAAATAAATGATCATTGCTGCGTTCTTGATCCATGGGTTTCATTGCATAGTTCTTGTGAGTAGGCGTTGCCAGAAGTCCAATCAGAGCTTCCCAAATGATGACCATTTTGAGGGATGAAAATGGAACGGCAGTATCATCTTTAATAATCAGCTACTAGTGTAAGAGCCTAATGCCCCTTGGCCATACCCAATAACAGGGGGCAAGCATGCCTCCACCACACTTTCCAACTGTTTGATCAGAAGAGTAACCATCTGAATTTCCCCTCCAGTGGCCTGCACTCTTTTCCCTGGGAGTGTCTTTCAGGAGTCAGCAGTTACAACTCAACTCAGTGTGAGCATCATTCACTCCACTGAACATGTTGAGCCTTTAAACTAGAGTGGAATATTTAACCCATAATAGAACTGGAATTCATGCTTCTCTCAGGACAATATTCCATGCTTCCATCAGCAGTGAATTAGAAGACATGAACATTAATAAAAAGTGTACCGTTCTTTAACTATACAAAGTGCTAAACAGCATAAGCCATAGCCATAATTGAAGACCCTAAATCACTGTTATTTGCTGAGTATGTATACCAATGTTTTAATGATACAAGTTCTGATGACTTAATGCTAAAACAACTAAAGTAGGTCCAGAATAGTTTGATACAATAAAAAACATCTCTAAAAGAAAATCAACAAAAGGAATGAAAAAAATACAGTAAAATTGGTTTGATTCCTCAATTTCCCTCTTTATGGGTGACAGTCAGCAGAGCCATGAGTATTTACATTTACGGCATTTATGAGTATGTTGTACTGGAACAGCAGGCTACAGTAGTCTGATGACTAACAGCAGGCTACAGTATTCTGATGACTAACAGCAGGCTACAGTATTCTGATGACTAACAGCAGGCTACAGTATTCTGATGACTAACAGCAGGCTACAGTAGTCTGATGACTAACAGCAGGCTACAGTAGTCTGATGACTAACAGCAGGCTACAGTATTCTGATGACTAACAGCAGGCTACAGTAGTCTGATGACTAACAGCAGGCTACAGTATTCTGATGACTAACAGCAGGCTACAGTAGTCTGATGACTAACAGCAGGCTACAGTAGTCTGATGACTAACACCGTAGTCTGATGACTAACAGCAGGCTACAGTAGTCTGATGACTAACAGCAGGCTACAGTAGTCTGATGACTAACAGCAGGCTACAGTATTCTGAATGTAACCGTGGGCTACAGTATTCTGATGACTTCCTCTTCTATTCAGGAGACGAGAAACAAAAGTTCCCAAAAGCAGGAAGTGGGGAGAACAACAATGTCCAGTTATTGTCCCCCATATCTGTCCCCCTATTCCACCCGTAATGTACATATGTGCAGTGCATACCCCCTGGAAACACAAAATCATCTATAGTTAATTGGTTCACATGATAAAATGTTGACAGTACAATGTGTTCCATATCACCTAAGTTACCTTTCTATTACCAGAATGTACAGTGTTTTGTGACTTTAAAAAAATCTTCAGGAGGGCCTTTACATTGCATACTTCTGGGTCCAATCTCTTGCTAGTCTGTTGTATCTGGAAACAAAATAAACACGTTTTGCTCACAATAACAAATACAAAGATAATATGAAACAAAGTCTAGGTGCCATCTCTGTTGATTTGCTATAGAATGTTCAAATATACTGCAATGACCTAAATAAGTCCTCCATTATTCAAAGAATTTGGTTACAGCAGCTCATTGGAGAAATAGGCCTAACACTTTACACAGTAACAATATACTCACTTCTCTTTGTCTAGTTTGTAGATCTGTGCTATGTCTGGAACTAGGGGGTCGTCCGGGTTCGGGTCACAAAGCAATGAACATATGGACAACAGAACTGGAAAACAGATGAAGCAGCAGCTGATACAGTTAATGGTCCCATTTCACATTCAATCACCAGTCAGTCAGATTGGTCATGTAATGTAATAATTGGTCATTCTGATTTAATGATCAGGTTCAAGTTGTAGGAGGGTTGTAATAGAACCTTCTACAAGTGTTGGATGGAAACGGATGGAACAATGTTTTAACATGGAACCAGGTGTGTCATTTCTGCCAGTTAACCAGCTACATTGTGGCAGCATTTGTTTGGTAAAGTACTAACCCAGTTATCTCACCTTTTGATACAGTTAGTGCTGGAGACCACTGGGATCGCAAGATGTCCAAGCAAATGCTCCCGTTACTGTTGATGTTTGGATGATAAATCTTTGTTGTGAATGCTACCTGTAGAAACATGGACCTGTGTTTATGTACCATTTATCCATGAGGACCATTCTTTAGCAACAGTTTAATGATGTAATGACTTCCATAACAAATCTATTCTTACCTTTGGTGGCTTGAAGGGATAGTCAGTGGGGAAGTGGATTGTGAGAAAGAAGACCCCACTTTGGTATGGACTATCACCCTAGGAATAACAAGAACAGATAGACATTGTTAGAAATTATGAAAATGTGCAACAAAATTATTTCAATACCCATTGTTCAGATGACCCATGTTGCAATCATTAAACCACACAGATCATTTTGAAGTCATACTCACTGGCCCCATTATTGTTGCTTGCCAATGGAACACTGGAATATAGAAAGATAACATGTATTAGGCCTATAGAGCATCACTTCACCAGGTGTAGTACAGCCTGCAACAACCCCCAGTCCCTCTCCCCTTCACCAGGTGTAGTATAGCCTGCAACAACCCCCAGTCCCTCTCCCCTTCACCAGGTGAAGTACAGCCTGCAACAACCCCCAGTCCCTCTCCCCTTCACCAGGTGTAGTATAGCCTGCAACAACCCCCAGTCCCTCTCCCCTTCACCAGGTGAAGTACAGCCTGCAACAACCCCCAGTCCCTCTCCCCTTCACCAGGTGTAGTATAGCCTGCAACAACCCCCAGTCCCTCTCCCCTTCACCAGGTGTAGTATAGCCTGCAACAACCCCCAGTCCCTCTCCCCTTCACCAGGTAGGGTCTATACAACCAGCCCTAGTCCCTCTAGGTAGGATCTATACAACCAGCCTTAGTCCCTCTAGGTAGGGTCTATACAACCAGCCTTAGTCCCTCTAGGTTGGGTCTATACAACCAGCCCTAGTCCCTCTAGGTAGGGTCTATACAACCAGCCTTAGTCCCTCTAGGTAGGGTCTATACAACCAGCCTTAGTCCCTCTAGGTAGGGTCTATACAACCAGCCTTAGTCCCTCTAGGTTGGGTCTATACAACCAGCCTTAGTCCCTCTAGGTTGGGTCTATACAACCAGCCCTAGTCCCTCTAGGTAGGGTCTATACAACCAGCCTTAGTCCCTCTAGGTAGGGTCTATACAACCAGCCTTAGTCCCTCTAGGTAGGGTCTATACAACCAGCCTTAGTCCCTCTAGGTAGGGTCTATACAACCAGCCTTAGTCCCTCTAGGTAGGGTCTATACAACCAGCCTTAGTCCCTCTAGGTAGGGTCTATACAACCAGCCCTAGTCCCTCTCCTCTTCACCAGATATAGAGTACATTACCCTCAGAGTCCCTCTGTCTAAACTTACAGTCCTCTCCCACGGGTCCAGCGGAGCACTGTGCTGGCGGATCCCTCTGCAGGTCATGAAGCTCCTAGGGGACAAAACAAGTCAGACAAGTAGTGCTAGGGGTTACACATGAAACTGAAAGTTGTCCTTGTGGACTAGGTCAGATACTCGGATGCATTTTACATCCACGAAAAAGCTGGGTTTCTTAACCTGTCCCTAGTCACAGCTTTATTGGTAGATATATTTGACTCCGACTGTTATCATAATTATTGGCCTTCTTCATCATGTCCTGCCTTAGCTACACCCTCAAGTCAAATTAGACTAACTAGTTAGCGTTACAACACGAACAGGTGCTGCACCTAGCTAAGTGTAGTTAGCATGAATAGCTGTGTCCTGGAGAGGGGGTGAATGGCTGACAACAAGGAACATTAAAATCTAGTTCTGACGTTGTGCCATACCGTGATATCATGTTATGCTAAACATTAGGATTGTGGACCGTGTTAGTTAACCAGTGAAACAACACACATAGCTTCCGCATATGTGTGCACTCTATAGCTAGACAGCTAGCTACGTGGTTAGGATTAGTTTTAAAATGAACCGATTATGTAGCTAACGTTAACAAACAATAACAACTTCTGATAGATGACGTTCGGTTCCATGAAGCTAACGTTAGTTAGCTAGCTAGCCTAGCACAGCTAGCCACAATGCTAGCTAACCATCTTACCTTTTGTATTCTTTTCAATGCCATGGTGACCAACTTAGTCAAATGCCCCTAAGTACTCGTCGACTTGGTATTTTCTTAGATGTCAACTTTAATAGTATTGCTTAAAAGGTAAAGGTATTTTATTTCCCTGAGTAGATCGCCAAGGCAAGGGTGTGTGTTTGTGGTTCTCTATTGTTTCCGCTTTCTGTTTACGGTTGGCTTTAAACAAGGGACTTCTGGGAATTGTAGTTCTTCTTTGAAAATGTCATTTTTTTTAGCATAATACATTTCTACCTTTCAACAATGATTTATTATTGATATAAAACATTTATTTCCCACTATCAATTCGTTGATTATTGTATTTTTAAATCGTTTGATCAACTGAGTGCGTGTTTATTAATTGTAAATAAGAATAAGCCTACTTGACATAGCGCATTTCATCATGTATACCCTATATCCTATTGTGTATATATTCTACCGCAGTAAATTGTATTATTAATTATTTTATTTTTAATTAATATGCCATTTAGCAGACGCTTTTATCCAAAGCGACTAACAGTCATGAGTATGGGTGGTCCCGGGGATCGAACCCACTACCTTGGCGTTACAAGCGCCGTGCTCTACCAGCTGAGCTACAGAGGACCACTATGTCAGCTATAGAACTTTTTAATACTTACTAGTTATATTTTTTATGATTTATATTTGTACTGGGGACTGCACTGTTGAGGAGAGCTTGCAAGTAAGCCTTTCACTGTACCGTTTTCCCCCTGGGTGTATTCCTTACGGAAACCGTTTACCAAACAGAAGCAAACAGAGCAAATGGAACCAAAACTGCGAGGGACCATAGAGAATGATAGAGGCCTCTAGTGGGGAAAAGGCTTTATTAGCACGGGCTTTCACCATTTTAACATAGTCAACTGGGTGGGACTTCCAGCTTCATTGGCTGATCCCTCCTGGTGACCCTTTTGGAGTAATGTCCAACCGGGTCATCAAGAGGGATCAGCCAATCATGAAGAAGAAAATTGACTACTTCAAAATGGATACTCAATGAGTATGTTTACATGCACAGGAATAATTGGATATTAAACTGATTATGGCAGTAGGCGGATAATGCAATAGTCAGGTAAACACCTTACTCTGTTTATCTTAATCGGCATAAGGACTAAATCGAAGCATACGCCGATTAAAACACCTGGTTTTGTGAGCAATTTTTCAAATGATTAGGCGTATAGGGCGGCAGGTAGCTTAGTGGGTAAGAGCGTTGTGCCAGTAATCGAAAGGTCGCTGGTTCTAATCCCCGAGCCGACTAGGTGAAAAATCTTTCGATGTGCCCTTGAGCAAGGCACTTAACCCTAATTGCTCCTGTAAGTCGCTCTGGATAAGAGCATCTGCTAAATGACTAAAATGTAACCACCTTAATCGGAACGTGTCAGCACCCATAGTGCAAGCTTCCCTCTTTAGCGCGAGTTCGGAACAACTGAATGTATGCGTTTTAGAAATAGTTATCACATACAAACTTTATATGTCCGAACTGAGAATCAAACATACTTCACAAAAATAACATGGTCACTGTGGTAGAACATTTATTTTGATTGGCGATTCTCTGCATTTATCAGATTGACATTACGTACCCTGATTTCAGGTGTGTCCATGTAAACAGGATTATTAGGGAAATCGCTCTTCTTGCAAAGCATGTAAACGTTTTAATAGAACTATTATATTAATCCGAATAGCTACAGTAATCGCATTATTGTATGCATGTAACCTTACTCGGTGGCGCTGCCCACGTCACAGACGCTGCAATGGCTCAGATACAGAAACGGCATAATGTTTACACCCCTGCTGTATCCTCTGCACGTCACGATTAAACTTGGATTTTATTTTGAGTGCAGATTGAATTTGATGATGATTGATTACTAATGCCTGGCAAGCAAAGTCTGTGCAGCAAGTGCTGTCTGACGATCACGTGACGAGTTGCTGGTTGCTTCAGACAGAAGTAGCTAGTCACGACAGTGAGCGCCGTTGTGAATGCAGTAGGAGCTGCTACTAACAGCAGAGATGCTGGTATATAGTGCTAAAAGCTAAAAGTCTGACAGGACAAGCTACGTGACTATACACCGCCCCGGTGTGACAGTTAGCAGGCCAGGTGGAGGAGGAGGTACGGTAGCTATGTGGGTGTTCGGGTATGGCTCTCTGATCTGGAAGGTGGATTTTCCCTATGAGGAGAAGCGGGTCGGCTTCATCACAGGCTTCAGCCGGCGCTTCTGGCAAGGCAGCACCGACCACAGGGGAGTGCCAGGCAAGGTGTGTGTCTGTCTGTCTGTCTGTCTGTCTGTCTGACTAGTGAAGGTAGTGTACGTTTATTATTAAATAATAGTCTGTTGACTAGTGGTGATATCCAGCCAGCTACATGACTGCTCTACGGCATCTGCACTGTATGGGGACAGAGGCTCGATGTTGTCCACCTCTCTACAGGTTCTGGATGGGGACAGAGGCTCAATGTTGTCCACCTCTCTACAGGTTCTGGATGGGGACAGAGGCTCAATGTTGTCCACCTCTCTACAGGTTTATTAGAGTTCAATCAGCTCCTCTCTCTCTTCTCTTTTCAGCCTGGCCGAGTCGTGACTCTAGTGGAGGACCCAGAGGTGAGCTGCCACCTGTGTGTGGTAATGGAACCGGTGTGAAACAGTGCCTTCGGAAAGTATTCAGACCGCTTCACTTTTCCACATTTTGTTCACAGCATTATTCTAAAATGTATTAAATAAATAAAAATCATCAATCTACACACAATACCCCATAATGACAAAGCGAAAACAGGTTGTTAGACATTTTTGCAAATGTATTAAAAATAAAAAAACAGATACCTTATTTACATAAGTATTCAGACCCTTTACTCAGTACTTTGTTGAAGCACATTTACATTTACATTTACGTCATTTAGCAGACGCTCTTATCCAGAGCGACTTACAAATTGGTGCATTCACCCTATAGCCAGTGGAATAACCACTTTAGGGGAACGGCACCTCCGTACCTTCAGGCTCTGATCAGTCCCTACACCCAAACGAGGGCATTGCGTTCATCCACCTCTGGCCTGCTGGCTCCCCTTCCTCTGCGGAAGCATAGTTCCCGCTCAGCCCAGTCAAAACTGTTTGCTGCTCTGGCACCCCAATGGTGGAACAAGCTCCCCCACGACGCCAGGACAGCGGA